AAAAATGAGAGAGAAGCTGGGGTAATGGAAGAAAAAAAAAACAATCCAACCTACCAATTTTGCACGAGATTATGATAAAATTAACAATACATAATCTATTGTACTTAATTAAACTAACATACAAGAAGGACACATGTCAGCTTCACGTTGAAAATTTTCTCACCAAAGGCGTTTTTTAGTACAAAATGAAAATTAACACGTGACGCTCTAAATGTGCAGAAAAAAGAATGGCTTAAAAACACATTAGTATACTAATATTTATTTATTTCACCAAAAAAAAAAAAAAACTCAGCGAGTTTAAATGAGAATAACGTAAACAAGGAACCTCAATCTTCGCTCATGTTTCCCTAATTTTAGCAGAGGATAACAATAATCTTCCCCTTATGAAATTATCTTTTACATTCAGTTAATAAAATCAAACTTCAAAAAAATTTATCCAAATCATCCGTCTCTCTCTCAATCCACAAAATTCAAATCCCCCGTTCTCAGAAAATTCAATCATAGCAAGATGATCCCTTCCAATCACTCACTCCAAAATTAACTCCCATTAATCACTCGCCTTTCAATTTCAAAAAATTAAAAGATCTCAAAGGATCTCCTGCACTCCGATCCCTTATCTCTCTCTCAGATATGTTCTTTTCTGCTTTTGAATATTGGAAGAAATTGCTTGGTCTGTTTTTGAGTATTGGAAGAAATTGCTTGGTAGGTATCACAGGCCCGAGAAGTTGACATCAGCAAAACCAGTTGATCGGTGAAATCTCTTGATAATTTCTGCTAGAGGGAAACACGGTGAGAAGAGGAAAGCCACTGCTCTAAGCATAAAAAAAACCACTGTTTGTGATCAAAGTATTCATTGATTAACCCCTCTGTTCCTCTCCCTTCTTTATGCGAGAACTAATCTCAGCAATCACCTCTCAGCCGCTAGAAACTTCTGCAGCGATGATGGCACCTAAGCCTATAGAGGAACCCTTGGTTGGGCGAAAGCATAGAAAAATTCGACAATCAAGGAAGGAGGTAAAAGATATATTACACTAATCTTATTCGATTGGGGTCTCTCTATGCTTTGGGGTTGTAGTATATCCCGCTCTAATTCTTGATTCGTGCCTTTTCATAGATTAAGTGTGTACCCATAAGCTCGAATATGTGAAAACATTTTTTTGATTTTGTGTTTCTTTCCCCGCATGTTGATATCTTTTGTAATTATTATTCGTCGTATTTTGTGGTCGTATTATCAGTTCGATGATGGAGAGAACAAAAAGGTAACCCTATCTTATGCTGCCGTAATTGAGCTTAGAGTTTCTCGCAAAAAGAGATGTCCTCCATCATTGCCCAAAACGGTAAGACCACAAAATCTTGCATCCCTTTTGATGTTCCATTTTATCTACCTTGGCCTTGGATGCTTTTGAAATCGGATCAATTTCTGTAATTTATTTTAACAGTTTGTTCTTTGCAATGTGTGAAATTAGTTCTTGCTATTACTTCTCATGGTCTTGGAAAAGAAACATAATCAGTTCTTGCTGATACTTTTAAGCTGATATTTAATTCAATCAAAAGCATAATAGGAGTTGTGGGGATTGTAAGGAGATAGATAATGATTGTTGACAAAGTTAATAGTCGTATATTAGGAAGAACCTCTGAAGACTGTTTGGAGCTAACGGGTATATGTATATTCTTTTTGCAGGTAAACTCATATTCAACAATCAGAGGGTTCACCTTTATTGGAACTAGAGGTGATGATTTTGTTCAAGCTATGGTTAGTTTTGTTGAATCCATAATCCAACAGCCATCTCCGGAGGTATTATACCATTTTTCATACCATAATAGATTTTCAAAGAAAGCAGTTTTAGTTATTAGGGTATTTCTGTTTAAAATGTGTATTGATTTTGGTCTGTGTTTCCTCCTTTTTAGATTTTATTTCAGGGTCTTGGGTTATTCAGTAGAATGATATTCACTTAAGTTTATTCATTTTGTAGTAATGTTTTTCTTCTATAATCTACGCTTTTTGTCCATTCAAATTGAATTGCAAACATTTCCAAGTTATTCCCAGCACTGAGCTGAATGTTTTGATGTAACCAGGGCCAGGTGACACAAAAACTTTCCTCAAGAGGCAAATATGTATCTATAAAAATTAGACCTATTCAAGTAGTTTCGAGTGAATAGGTCTGTTAACTTCTCTGTCCCTTTCCCTCATATGTTAATGTTTTCATTTCTGCATAACAACCCTTTTAGGGCGAATACCCGGAGATTAAATAAATGCATTATTTTGCTGTATGAATCCATATCTTTATTTCGGTGGTAAATAAATCCAGAGAGAGTATGCACATTGGACGCATGGATTAACATTTATCTTTTTTAAGAAAATAGCTACGGGGGCTTAGCAGCAACAGATGAAGATGTTTATGGTTAGGCCTAGTCAAATGGAAGATACTGATTGCAAAAAGATATTCTGACGGGAGAACGATAAGATTCATCATTTGATTGGTAAAATTTAGATTTGTTTTTGTTTACAATTAGATATTATGATGGACAATTGTTTATATTCACATCTTACAGGTAAAGATCCAATTTATTCTTCATTTAGTTTCAGGGCAAAAAACACAATTTCGACGTCACATCCTCCACTCTTTCAAGTTTCAATAAGTTTCTGTGGGACTGATATAACCCGGTTTTGATACTAGAACTTCCTCGAAAGCTGCCATTTTTTTTTTTTATTATCAATTTTGTGGGTTTCATCAAAGCAAGTAAGACCTCAAAATCGCATCTTTGTCTTCATTTGCAAGGTATAATGAATAGATAAATAGTTTCATTTGATGTATTTTTGGTTTCCAAATGCGTTGATCATTTGTAATATTTAGTCCAAGAGTACTCACGAAGACATCACTCTTGCACCTCCTTGATATGCTTCATTTAGAATGGTTATATCTAGAGACTAAATACAGATAAATTATGAGCGTTTTCAAGACCCAAATGCTCCAACTACCTTGATGAGGGAATATGGGGTATCTGTATATTGCCAAATGTGGATTGAAAAATTCCTATAGAACTGTGAATTATTCCAATGATTATTTAAGGTAGTTTGGGTTGTGGGTGCTAGCTTATCAAAAGGTTGCACTGATGTGACTGGGTTAAAGTTTTGGGCAAATTGAACATTCTTTTTAGCCGCTGGTTCTTCTTGAATTTTAAATAAGTATTCTATTGTGGTGCTTAGATTTCAATTTGTCCAGTTTTGGTTTATCATGGTGGGTTTTAATTTTTACAATACTGTAGTTTAACAGTAATTGTTGAATCTAATTATACCTTTTTTTCCATGTTAAATTGGCAGACATCTTTCAAAAACTCCAATGAATAACATTGGTGATATTACGAGTTGATCGTCTAAATCTGCAAGCTATTGGGCTCTATCTATTGTAGTTTATGTAAGTAATCAAATACGAGTTTGTTCAATAGGTGCCCACGAATACTTTTATCATGAGTTTTTAAGTCCATATTGAACATCCTCATTGTATCACTTTATGTCATATATTCCCCCCTCTCTGTACTTCATTTTAGCTACCTTACTCAAAGAGATCTACAGGCTTCCAAAATACATAGATTGTCATTATAAACTATACTCTCCATGTCCCAAATTGACTGTTAAGTTTGAATTTTCGGTTTTAGTATATTTTGTGTTGGTGAAAATTCAAACTAGACTATCATTTTAGGACGGAAGGAATACTTTCTTTACTTATTTACATAACAATCTATGCCGTGACACTAGAATATTTTCTATCCACCCATAAGACTACTGCAACACACCCAAACATCTTGAAGATTTGAACCCCAAGTTTGAAGATTGGGGGACAAAGATTTATGGGATGAAACTGATACAAGTTTTCATGAAAACTAAGAACTGATCACATATAATAAAACTTTCTCTGGCTGACCAGAGAAATTGCTAATATTTGAAATTTACTAGCAAATAACCTACCAAACAAAAGTTACTGAATTTTTTTTACCTCGAGCTCCTTCATCCAACATACCCCATGTATCTGAAAGTAGTTGTTCTTGCTTAACAACAGACTCCATACTTTTTGTGTTGACAACCACTCTTTTAATTAGAATAAATTTTAACTTTTTTGAATGAATTTTTTTTTCTATCCACATTTAGACCTTCAATTTGACCGAGCATTTTGGGTGTTAGATTTGATATCTTACATTTGTTTGGTGATAATTTTACCAAAAGAAAGTTTAATTTTACCAACTAATGTCATATATTGTGAAAATAAGATATGAAAAGCCGCCAGTTATTCACTCTGAATTTTATAAAAATATGATTAAAATTCATATTGTTTTCCGTATCTATTATTATAGATATTATATAAGAAGTATTATTTGTATCTTTTATTATAGATATTACATAAACAAAATTTATTTCTTTACCAATTTAAATCCATAGACGGCCGTCCGGACACTCGCCCGAGCTAAGTATCTAGTCTAATTTTAACCGTCCTCCAAAAAGACCAAAACTATACCGTGAGTGCGTGACTATTACGTAATGTGTTAGATTCTAGTTGTGATGTAATGTGTTTTAGATATTTGTCCTTTTCGGTTGTTTGAAAAAAGAAAACCGTCCTCGTCCTATGATCATCCAATTTAGTGTACTTTCTTTAACAATATAAATAATCACAATTTTTGTTTAACTTTTACTTCCTCCCTCTGTCCCATAATTATTATCCAGTTTTACTAAAATGAAATATTTTATTTTTGGTCAAACTTAACTATATTTTATCTTAAACAACCGGATATACCCCTACATAAGTAATTGTTTAACCACTAAGATTTTGTGGATAATGTTTTTTACTAAGGACAAATGTGTAACTTGATCCATAAAAAAGTCAAATTGATCAATAATTTTAGGACAAAATTTTTTGGGCAAAATGAACAATAATTATGGGACGGAAGGAGTATTAAATTTGTTTAATACTATCAAGATTTTAAAAGTATTTCATCAGTTTCATTGAAATAAATCCATGCGTTACACACTAGTCATCAAATTACCATGATCTGTTAGCATTCATCGTCACACAAAAAAATCAATCAAAGCCCACCCAATTCATTCACATTTTACCACCGCCACCAGCCCACCTTCCAGCTCCATTAGTGTTCCTCTTTTAGACGTTCTTTCTCCGGTGATAATTTTGCAGAAGTGCAAAGAATTTTCCGTCGGTCCCTTCCGGAAAACAGTTTCAGGTTTGTAAATTCGGGTTCTTTTTCAAATTTGATTTTGTCTGCTCGAGCTTTTCTCTCTTGAATTTGTGTCTAAAACTCTAAATTTTTTCATGTAAATTAGGCCGTGAAGAAGTTGCGGTGCGAGGTTTTTGATCGTGAATCATGTGAACTCTGAATGTCCCGGCAGTGTCTTTTTCACGATTAACCAGAGACTCAAGTTGTTTCCCCAACCACAAGCATTAACGAATTTCATACTTTTATCTCCCAGGGGTGAAAGAAAGTTATTTATGTACTGCAAATTGGAGGTGGTTTTTCTGGACTGAGGAAGCACAGAGATGGAGAGAATCAAATCTGCTGCTTCATTTTGGAGGGTTTGTAGAGCGAATTGGAGATTCACCTCTCAGTGTCAAAGAAGCCTTACTTCCCTCTCCGCCAACCCCATCCTCAATGATCATGAGAATCTTGTCTGTCTTTTTTAGTCCTTTTTCTGATTAATGCTACATTGTAATGGCTCTATTTGATTATGTGGGCTAACATTAATTTTTTTTTTCTTTTTTGGTTTCAGGTATTAGTTGAGGGAAATGCTGCTTCAAGAACTGCAATTCTCAACCGGCCCCAAGTGCTCAATGCCCTCAATACTTCAATGGTTAGCATGTCTCTCAACACTTTCTTTATTGTTCACGTAGGAAAATTAAGATCCCTTGATGTCAATGTTTAATTATCTGCTTTTTCAAATATTTAGGGTGTCCGGTTGCAAAATCTGTATAAAAGCTGGGAGGAGGATCATAATGTTGGGTTTGTTGTAATGAAGGTATTTTTTATCTTATTTTATTTTTATTTTATTTTCAGATTGGCCATTGGTTTTTAACTTCTGGTACTTCACTATTTTGGTTTGTTGGTTATGTGGGATAACCATGTTGGTGTTTTGAAACTGTTGAAGGGCAGTGGCAGGGCATTTTGTGCTGGTGGTGACATCGTATCTCTTCATAAGTTTATACATGAAGGTATGGAAATGTAATCCTTTTTATACATGAAACACTCGAACCCAATTATGGTTTCATGCCCTGACTGGATTTTATCTTGAATTGTGGCCCTTTCGTCTCATTTGATATTTGATATGTCTCGACCGAATCCACCTGTCTAGCCTTATTTGTGTTCAATGCGGACTATAAATTTCAGTGGATTGTTTCCATTCACCTTTTCGTGATGAATGTTATTAAACCCTTGGTTCATATATGCAGGAAATATTGATGAGTGTAAAGAATTCTTCTGGACATTATACAGCTTTATGTACATGGTTGGTACATACTTGAAACCACATGTGAGTATCCTTTCATTTAAAAAAGAATAGAATGCAGTACCATGACCTAAGCTTGCTCAGAAATGAAAATCGATATTAGTCGACTTAGATACATTGGCATCTTATATTGTGCACCTTTTAAATCGAAACTATTAGATACTTGATGATATTGCAGCATCTAAACTTTAGAAATCTCAAGAGGTATGTATCATTTTTACATATCTCATTGTTTAGTTGCTGCTATAGTTGGATCTTCATTTTTATGTCATCCAAGGGGCATATTTATAGCCTCTTATTTACGTCGGTGCAGGTTGCACTTTTGAATGGAATCACTATGGGTGGCGGGGCTGGAATTTCAATTCCTGGAACATTCCGGGTGGCCACTGATAAAACGGTGGGATCTGAGTGGAAGTCAGAATCTTTTTTATTCTCGTCTTGCTTTTTCGGTTGCGATTTCTATCGGGAAGATGTAAAATTCTGCACATTCAGTCAGTTGACTATTGGAAATCTGGTATAGTTAGCGGGAATTGTGTTAATGCCTTTTGCCTGTAAACTTACCCTAAACGGTAGTTAATAGAAAAAGGATTAAACAGTTGTCAAAGTTGGGAATTGTGGATTAATAAGTACAAGGATTTGGTGAAGCAAGAAAGTTCCGGAGCATGAGATTTGAAGAAACTCACGTATACTTCTTCAATGCATTGACCTCCACTAGAATGGACAATCAGCTTTTCGCTCCATGTTCTCTACTCTTTTCAGTTTTCTCTTTTCCCCCTTTTAAACAAACAAAGAAGATTTCTTCTTAATCTAATGGAAGGTTTCAATCGTTTTGTAGGTTTTTGCTACTCCTGAAACACTTATCGGCTTTCATCCAGATGCTGGAGCTTCTTTTCACCTATCACATTTGCCTGGTCATTTAGGTAGGCATGTATGTTGGTAAAACAGAAATCCCCCGGCTGGTTTACGACATATCAGTTTGATTTTTTTCTTTTATCTGGCTGAATCCTCCTCGATGTTTTGTAACCTATGCTTATTTTCCTGTTTATTAGTGATATTGCACTCAATGATCAATGCCCAATTTAGTAAAGATTTAGCTCTTAATGGTTGTATGTTGCGATTGTTATTCTACCTCAGAAAAATGTGTATGATGGAGGTTTATTTGTCGTACGTGGTTTTAAAAAAAGAAAATTAGTTCTCTCGCAGTACTTTTGAATTGCAGGTTTTCTGAAATTTGTAGGTGGAAGGAAAAAAATCTTTATAAGTTAGTCGTCAGATCTTGATGACCAATGGACTGTACAGCTTAAAGAGTGTATAGAAATGATAGGCAGCTGCCAAAAAGTTTTGAACCAACTATTGATCTGTTCCTTATTTCGGCTACTGTTTAATTGCACTGACAAACTACACAGACAGTTTAACACTTTCTCATGGTACGTGCAGGAGAATACTTGGGCTTGACTGGAGCCAAGCTCAATGGAGTGGAAATGTTGTCCTGCGGGCTTGCCACACACTGTACACTGGATTCGGTAGCTAATTTTGGACTTTAGATGCATTTTCTGCGACTATCTGTTCACTCTATTTGCCAAATGTTACCCTGTTGTAATGATGCAGAAGCTGCCTTTAATTGAGGAACAACTTCGAAGCTTGTTGACTGACGATCCCTCTGTCGTTGAAAGTTCTTTGCAAAACTTTGGTGACATTGTCCATCCTGATCAAGCAAGTGTAATTCACAGGTGTGTACACTTTATTTAAGACTGCTTAGAGATAGGCGTGAAAGTCTGTAACGTCATAGCATACAGTTTCTAATTGGATGCCAACTGTAGGAGTAGGGTTGTGTTTTGAACGTACCTGACTTTGAAAGGCATAGACGGTTTCTGGTATGTGGCCTAGCTTGTTTATAGTTCAGGGCCTAATTGTGGAATCCATATGACATTGGGCATTTCTCCTGTGAACGTATCTGAAAATTGAAATTATAACATCATTGATTAATTGCTATCATAAAAGATTACAAGTGTTTAAGAGTCAGTTGTATAATTTCTCAATGTGTCACTTGAACCTAAATGCAATTGGATTATTTAGTCTTTCTTTGGTATCGTAACACTTGCCTTTTGTGTTCTGGTAGTCAATAAACATTTTCTCTTGTCCTTTATTCTATTATAATATCTTGTTGATTCTTAATGGTAAACTTTGCTTACCCGTCTTTTCCCTTTCTGTTAGGATTAAAACACTTGACAAATGTTTCTGCCATGAAACCGTTGAGGAAATTATTGATGCTTTGGTAAGCAAACTTTCCAACTTCACATTCATCTACCCTCAGCTCATTCATGCTAATGTTTTGCTTAGTCATGAATAATTCAAAATTATCGTACGTTTGAGTAAAACAACAAGTCATTTTCTGCAATCAATTCAAATTGTGGATGAATAGTCATACTGATGGGACCTTATGTGCAGCAGTTACTGATTGTTAGAGTCTAAAAGTGATTATGCTTACATTCCATGAGGAGAAAAAAAGGAAGGAAAATTGTAAAAACAATATAATTTAGTTGAAGCTTATGCAAGGTATTACTGGTGGTAGTAAACAGGTTATTTTCCTTTAAGCATGAACCTAATTTGGTCCTTGCAGTACAGAAATGTGTTTTCAATAAAGCCTTCCAACATTCCTATGCTTGAAAATGCTTAGTTTTATATCAGAAGAGATAATTAAGAGGCCAAATGTCCACTAATGTAAAGATTAAGGACGCCAAATTGGATCGAGATACCAAATTGAATTCTTTCTGTATCTTCCATATTCTAGACCTGTTTAAGCTTCTGAATGCTCCCTTCGGGGGAAAAAAAAAAAATTTTTAAGCTTCATGGTTTGCAAATAATTTATACGGTAGGAAACTGAAGCTGGAAAAACAGGAGATATGTGGTGTGTTGCAACGCTGAAGAAACTCAAAGATGCTGCACCTTTGAGCTTGAAAGTGGCCTTGAGATCAGTAAGTCATATTGAAGATAAACATATCATTTGAGCCATTACATTCTACGTAAGAACTTATATGAGCCCCTGGTCCAGATACGAGAAGGGCGATTTCAAACTCTTGACCAGTGCTTGATTCGTGAGTACCGAATGTCCCTGCAAGGAATCTCGGGGAAGATTACCAGTGACTTTCGTGAGGTACAAATAACAGTTGCATCACAATTATAGTGGCAATAAAATCATTTGGGCGTTCTTCATTTTAACTGTTCTCTTGTTCCCTCTATACCAGGGGGTTCGTGCACGATTGGTGGATAAGGATTCTATGCCAAAGGTAAATAATTCCCTCATTATTTCAAGATGCTGGGTTCATTTTCTGCTAATAAACTGATAAAACTGAGCACTTTCATCAAATCAGTCTGTATTAGCACTTGGCTAATTTCAGATTAAGTAAATGCCGGGTCTTGTTTGTCTGCCGTTGAACCTAACCCCTTGATCTGTAAAAACTAGGTATTAAAGATTGTGTTCTTTCAATTCATGGTTTGATGTTTTATGAGATGCAGTGGGATCCCCCAAGCTTGGAGCTAGTAACTAAAGACATGGTAGATGAATACTTTTCGCCACTTTCTTCTAGTGAACCTGAACTAGAGCTTCCCACCCAGCAGAGAGAAGCATTCATTTGATTTGTCTGGTCCTGGTGTCATTCTTGAAGAAAATGCCATCCGATTATCATGTAAATCTTTCAACTTGTGTATATCCATTGCTATCTATATTGATTACCTTACCTCCAAAGAAAGAAAGAAAAATGTTCTCCATAGGCTATGAGCCTTATGCAGGTTTCTCGTCTTAGGGTATGGATTTTTGGTGCTTTCAACCTGAAATCTCCAGATTTCTTACCGTAAACTTTAGCTGACAGGCAGGGGATTCCGGTACCATTCTTTTATGGTGTATAACTTCATCAATCCAAGCCTGAAATAGAGGAAAAAGTTCCATTTTGGAATTACAGTTTATTTCTTTTCCTACCCACAAAAATGAGCATACAAAAGGATTCTAAATGGTCCGAAGTCCAAACAATAAAGTTAAAAAAAGAAATCGAATCAAAGTCCAATTACCGGACATAAAAGAAAAGTAAAAGAGAAAAGGAGGCAACATGCTTAAAAGTAAAATCAAAAGCACTGAATTACTGCACAATAAGATGATAAAACCTCAATATCATTGCTAACACAAACTTTCACTCCACGAGGTAATCAATCAATCACCTGTTGCAGTCCTCCTTTAAGGTCATCGAAACCAAATTATCCAACTATCCAATGTAAAGTTGTAGAAATGAAAATTGAAAATTGAATGGAAAGGGGCAAAAAAAGAAAAAGAAGAAGAAAAGATTGTAGTCAGATGGATGACGGTGATGCGATTCAACGAGGAGTATCGTATCCACGAGGAGTATTAATCAATGTTGTCTACGGTATTTATTTTGAAAATGCGAAAAAAAACGATAATGTTAGTGAAATGGTCAATGGTCGGACCTATTTTGAAGTTTGTCGTCTAATCAACCATTAAGAAAATTACTAATGAAAATTAAAATCATTCACGTGATTACAAACACTTCTAATCTTACGTAATTTGTCGTTATTAGTTAATCTAAATGTTTTAACAAAAGCTAAAAACTTATAAATAAAAGCCCAAAAAGGACAGCCGGCAAGCATTATGAACTCCTCTCTACTGATCAACGAGATGATGATGGCTTCTTTTTCTTCTTCTTCTTCTTCTTCCAGTTGCTGTTTCATCAGATTCTTCTCCTTCTCCAAAGTTTATCATCAGTTTTATCATGTCATTGTTCTTGTGATTTTGACAGAACTACTTATTCTGGGCAGTTTACCAGTCTCTGTTCTCAGTAGCAATGATTCAACTAGTAGCAGAGCTAGTAAATGTGAAAATCCGCCAGTGATTTTCAACTTCGGAGACTCAAATTCCGACACCGGAGGACTCGTCGCCGGACTGGGTTTTAACATTCTCCCACCAAATGGCCGGACTTTCTTCCAGAAGCCAACCGGTCGCTTCTGCGATGGCCGTCTCATCATTGATTTCCTTGGTAAGTTTCTTTGTCTTTTTACATAATTCTTTATTTCTTTCCACCAACCTCTTAGTTTTAGGCCTTACCTAAATACCAAGGAGGAGGAAACATTACTTCAATTGCAGAAAGCAGAACGGTAAAAATGTTACCATTTATGGCATTAATTTGATCGTTTAGGGACATAAATTTTGGAACTTGGAAATCTGGAACAGAAACTTTTGAATGTTGAAGTAGTAACTGTTTAGTTCTGCGTGGATCCCACGTTGATTAATGTTTGGTCTCCTTCTTTTATTTTTCCCCCTTGTCTGGAATTCTGGGAATCCTTCATTAATTTGCAGTTTCTAGTTTGTACGTTAGTGGCTACTACACTGTTCGATTTCATGTTCGCTTTCTTACATTGTTCAGTTATTTAAGGGAAAAGTGTCGGGTACTCTGGTTCATTTAATTAGGTGTATTCTTATCTGCCACATTTCTAGAATTTTCAACTAACAAATTAACAAGACATTCGTTTTGAGACGGAGAGTGTAAATCGAGTGTAGTAGTACTATATCTTTGTGTCACAAATAATTTTATATAGTACTCCTTCCGTCCCAAAATGATGTCCAATTTGCATTTTCAGTTTTAGTATAACTTGAACTAAAACGAAAATTCAAACCGGACAAGATGGAGAGAGTATATCATTTTATAGGAGGTGTATCATTTTGAGTCGCCAAGGGGTATGTGGAGCCTCTTCACTGTCACAGTTAATCACTCTCTCTGTTCCAAAATTTTTGTCAATTACTAAAAGTAAAAATCTAAATTGTACAATAATTTTGGGATATCTTCGAGAAATGGAGAAGAAAAAGTTAGTCCTCGGATGCTTGAATGTGCTACTGTGATAGCCAACATATCTCTTTTTGGCTGTAACAGTTGTACCACAAGGGACTTTACTTTTCTTTACACCACTTTCACAGCTCCATTCTACTGTTCTTTTTTATATCTAGTGCAACTCACATTACCACTATAGTACCAATATATTGTTGGTAGCAATAATTCTCACTTGTTGCTCCCTTCTTTGTGTATACATATTAACATGGCGATTATTTGGGACGAACTCAGTTATATCATTACCTGTACATTTTTGTTTTTACAAAAATATTGCTGGTGCAGGCGACAGCGTTGGCACAACTTTTCTGAACCCATACCTGGACTCAACAGCTTCCACTTTCTCAAATGGAGTTAATTTTGCAATTTCAGGCTCCTCCACTTTGCCTAAAGATGTACCATTTTCCTTACACATACAGCTCATGCAGTTCCTCCATTTCAAGGGTCGCTCTATTGAGCTTGCCTCCACTGGTATAGTATATGTGACTCTAAGAAAACTTCATTATAGTGAAACAATGTCCTCTTATTTAACAAATTGTATAGTCCTCAAGCCATAATGTTAATGGAAGTACCTTGTTTCACTAATGAGACACAGATGATACATAAAACTAAAGTACAACAGAGGGTCTAATTTGGGATTATCCTATCCTTTATGATGTTGTTTTCAGGAAATTCATTGCATTTTGTTCATCACGATGGTTTTCGCATTGGGGTTTATGTTATTGATATAGGACAGAATGATCTTTCTGATTCATTTGCTAAGAATCTGTCTCTTGCTCAAGTTGTGGAAAGCATCCCCTCAGTGATCTTGGAGATAAAAAATGCTGTTCAGGTCTGGTTTTAAAGTATGCCTATTCTTTTAAACAACAAATTCTTATGACAAAATCACGCTTGTGGTATGAAAAAGACTGAGGAAACTGCTTAACTAATTTCTGAGTGATTGATGTGGGGTGCAGGCTTTATATGCTGAAGGTGGGAGGAAATTTTGGATCCATAATACAGGGCCATTAGGATGTCTTCCTAAGAAGCTCTCCTCGGCGCAGAAACTTCCGGGCGATGTTGATCAGCACGGCTGTCTTTCCAGCTACAATGCTGCTGCAATGTCATTCAACAAAGCCTTACTTCATCTATGCCAAGATTTGAAATCTGCAATGCCGGATGCCACCATTGTTTATGTGGACATTTACTCCATCAAGTTTGACCTGATAATCAACTCTGCTGAATACGGTAAAATCCTCAAGTAGGTTAATGGCCTGTTACGAATCCGCAATACTGGTTTTCGAAATCTTATCATTTTGAAAATGCAGGATTTTCAAACCCTTTAATGGCATGTTGTGGATTTGGAGGTCCTCCTTACAATTACAACAGCAAGATGTTTTGTGGGCAGCCTGGCAGCCAGGTTTGTAGTGAAGGTTCAAAATATATAAGTTGGGATGGTATCCATTACACTGAGGCTGCAAACAGAATCATAGCCACAAAGATACTTTCTGGTGCTTTTTCCACTCCAAATGTTTCTTTTGATTCCTTTTGTAATTGACCATTTTAACTTGTGTAATGCTCTGTATGAAAGTAGATTTGCAATGTCTCAACAATTTTTAGATGTGGGAATAGATCAGCTTGTGTCTTAGTTATTGCAATTCAAATTGTATAGGGAAGATCCAAATTTACGGAGTGTCAACCTTTGACACCATAACACGATTTATAAAGATAACCCAACCGATCCGACATGATTGACACAAATAAATTGCATCTTAAGTTGTGTTTAGGCCACCATATACAACCATATAGAATGTGTAAAGTAACACGATTCTGAATGACACCCGTAGGTAGACACTTCTAGTTGAGCTATCTATAGTTTTCTACTGAAGTTTGAATCTTGTGAGACTCTTAACAAAGATCCTACTATATCTTACAAGAAAGTATATAATGTTCTGAAAATTATGTAATAAAAAATCCATGATCCTTACACTGCCATAGTTGGTAGCTCCATGGTCCAGAGATGCTCGAATATTACGTGTATTGTCTTTTTCAGTTTGCCTTTTTGGGATGAACAATCAAATAAAATGATTGAACAATTGCATGTGATGAGATCCCAAGTCAATCTGACGTTGGTTTCATTTCACTTTCACATGTGAGAAGGACTCGGCTTGGGGGAAAGTTTCCTAATTTGGAGCCTTAACAAAATCAAACTTGGTACGTGTAAATCCCGAGATCACAGATTTTGTTGATTGATTCAAATGAATGACGAGATCCCGGTGATTCGTTTAATATGCCATAATCGGTCACATATCACGCTAAAGATTAATCATCATCATATTCGAACAGATCGACTCAATGACTTAGTGAAACTTGAAGTAAAAGGGCAGTTGTACACACCATAATCCATATTCAAGGGTATGTTTTCCCCCCACTAGTGTGTTCGATCTGATAAACAGTTTGATAAACACGACTCTTATTTTGAGATCGCAAAAATAGATGCGCTTGGATTTCTCATCTCTTGAGACTTGAACAGTTGACAGTTTATTGTTGTGGTCTAATAAGAATTAAAATTAAAAGAACATAAAAATCAATTAGTAGTAGTAGTAGTAGTAACTAAACTCAAAAAAGATTCTGATAAATTCAGTCCTATCTCCGGCCGGTCGGTCTAAAATTAATTTGATGGATGCTACAAAGAAAGTTTGAGATCCAACCCATGATTATCATCATCATCATCATCTCGATATTCCCCTGTTTTGTAGCTTGATGATGGACCTGCTGCTTCTGTTGTTGCTTCTTGTTTTCCTTCATGGGTTGTATTTGGATTAATATCGATATTAAGATCAGGAGGAGGAGGAGCTCGGTTGCTGGATGATTCAACAAGATGATCCGGCGGCTCCGGCCGATCTTCCATGAAATCCTCCGGTTGGAATGTCGGATACCAAACGGCAACCGGCGGCGGCGGCGGCTTCCCTTTTGATCGATCCACATTGTGGTTGCCGGTGGCGGTGGTGGGTCTGGCGGCGGCCATGTTGGAGAGGCGCTCTTTAACATCCCGAGTACTTCTGATCAAAGCAAAGAATTTCTCCATCTTTTCATCTTCATTCTCTTCTTCTTCTCCTTCAAATGCTGTTGCTGCTGCTGATTCTGCATCGCCATCCTTCTTTCTCTTCTTCCTTTCCCCAGAATCCATAACCAAATTTTAAGAGAAAGAGAAGATAAATGGAAAATTACAAATGAATTGGGATGAATTTGACCATTATCAAGTGAATGCTCTGTGATGATGAGTTTTATTAAGTAATAAAAACAGAGCAAAAAGTGTTAAAATCGAATTTGATTTACGCAATAAAATGAATTTTGTCTACTACTGTGTCCCTGAAAGCAACCTTCCAACTATTCTTATTGGACACCTACTCTCCATGAAAAAAATATTTATTCCCATCTTTATTTATTTTTTATTCTTCGCATATATATCCTCTCTGTCTCATAAAAATTCAAACTGGATAATTATGACGGATCCAAAAATACTAACAAATCACTGTTGAGTCATCCGTCTCAAATTAAGAGGATGTCGAAAACAATATATTAAAAGTACCATGAACAATGCATGGGCTAGTAATTTATATTAATTGAGCTTGTAGTTAGTCACCAAAAATGATAATGATGTACTAGTATTTTGATTAATTCATGTGGTACCATGAAAAGTAAAAAAAAAAAAATACTAATCTTTTCTGTTTTATTTGCTCAAATAATTATTTCGGGACGAAAAAAATAAACCAAGTGGAGCGGGAAATGATGAGATTATGATATGATTATAAGGACTTGGCGTCACTTTGTGGAACGTCATTCGGTGAGTAAGAGAGAGGACGTAATATATGCTTATCTAGCAAAAAAAGGTAGCTTCCATCCGACCAAAAGGATCCATACTGCCCAATGCCCATAACCTATACGTGACCTTAATTTGGCCATGACTTAGGCTGTTTGTTGTGGATGCTTCTGTTTCAGTCCATTTTTTCCTTCTTATTATTTTATTCTTTTGTTACGTTGGTTACTGAATAGAGAAGAAATCCCACCCCATCCCCTCGCCCATCCTCGGAAACATAACATCCATTGGGACTTTATCATCGCCGCCCCATCATTTTTCCGTTGGCCACAATTGGCTGACACTCTGTACATACCAGGAGTTTACACGTCCAAAGCACCCCCGTTCCTTTGAAATGTGCAATCCGCTCTTATTATTTTACACATTTCTAAACTAAAAAGGCGGTAGAACGGGTCAAATTACAGTTACTATGATACATTGTTCAAAATGTTCGGAGCTGATTATTGGCGTCTTAATGGCGATGTGCCTGTAAACTTTGTCAACCTTTAATTTCGAATTGTGATTTCGACAACTTTCGGTAACATACCCTTGTTTCTGCTTGCATTAGCCGGGTTTGTCATGGGCCATAACAAATCGGATTCTGCAAGCAGAAGCTATGGTTGTCCCTGAGAGTATCACCATTTAATAATGTTACAAAACACTACAAATTCAAATAATATACTTATGATTAGTGACCCGTGCATTCATTCAGATTCCAGAATACAAGTGATGCAGGGGATGGATGGGATCATCCAAATCACTTTCAGTCATCCAACCATTGAACCCCATGCTTGGCCCAGAGATAGACTGCTTTATCTGGACCCCTACCCCCTATTTCATAAACCTCTGATGCTATATTATTCTTCCCCATCTCCGTCAACACCGGGGATAATATGTTCCATGCAGCACTCACCTCGTCGCTTCTCATGAATAAATGGTTGTCCCCATCAATGACATCGTGAAGGAGCTGCTCGTATGAATCAGGTACCTCGATGTTGTACCTGAAATGTGTGTCGTAAACAAAGAGTTAAAATGGTGTTTGAAACAAGCCGATTTCTTTTTTAACCAACAAGAGCCAAAATGATTGAGATTAAGGTAAACTAGTTTGCATACTTGTCCTTATAAAGCAAGTTTAGTTCTGAAGCACCCAACTCCATCCCCAGTCCTGGATACTTATTGTTCACCTTCACCAGAATGGCTTCATCAGGCATGTCCCGCAATATCAGCTCGTTTGTTGCAAGATTGACGCTTGTACCGATATCTTTATGGTAAAGGTTCCCGGGAACATGGCGAAAACGTATACGGATTTCAACTCTGCATCATTAAGATGTAGTAACATGTAAAACATCTTGGAGATAGTCAAATATTCCTCATGTGAATTTATGAGCACAACAAAATGTAGAAACTGTGTGGTTAAATGAATCAAGCTATGTAATTATGAAGAGAAGGACGTAAAACCTGTGTTTCCCAAGACCTCTTCCAGCTTTGATCAGAAAAGGAACGCCATCCCAGCGTGCATTGTCAATGTATAGAGCAGCAGCAAAGTACGTAGGAGCCAGATAATTTGTATCATCTTGGGCATTGGATCCAGATATACCTTTACAACGACCAATAATAACATCTGTAGGATCCAATTTCTTCATTGATCTCATAACCTTGACCTATACAGAAAAGAACAAATTCAGGTATCAAAACATTCATCTTTTTATTCAAGTCTGCGATACCATAGATTTCCCTTTTAGCTTATGAAATAATTAGGTTTTACTACTTCATTAGACCATGGTTTGTGATGGAACAATTAGCGAATTTTATGCAGGACAAAGATGCCCCAGAAACAACAGTTACATGCCTTTTCATTGCGAACATCTTCACCATCAAGACTTATGGGTGGTTCCATCGTAAGCAAAGCAATGGTCTGAAGTATGTGACTGTGTACTACATCACCTATGATTCCATTCCCATCTAGATACCTGCATTACTGAAGAGTTAATGCTGAACACCTAATACTTAAGCCAAATAGGAATTGTGAACAGTTTAGTTAGCCACCTGGATTGGGTATGTGTACTAAAATCGTCGGACCAAATGACCTGAAAATATAATAGAATACAGTATGAAGACATGTATATCTTAGACACCACAATTTTAACTCTGTTAGTCAGGGTTCTTTACCTGCACATTCTCAATGTAGTTTCGATTCCATAACGGCATAAATACTAAATTAGAGAACCTCAAAACTGCTAGGTTTTCGATAGTATTCCTTCCCAAAAGATGATCAATCCTGAAACAAAGAGGGCATATCAACCACAAAATAGCCAAGTGAGTGAAACCTTTCTCACCAAGCAGTCAAATATTTTACCTGTACAATTGCTGTTCCTCAAATTTGGAATGCATGAACTTTGTAAAGTGATCAGAAGATGAGGGATTGTAACCAAAAGGCTTCTCAACTATTATACGATTCCATCCAGTTTGTGATTGGGCCAGGTCAGCAAGAGCTGATGCAACATCTATGAGTGCTTCCTGGGGAACAGAGAGGTAAAAGATTCTGTTTGCGCCACAAGGATCCTGAGATGCAGCAGCTGTTTAGGAACAAGAATCACAATAAAATGCATCCTAGAAAGAAAAATGTGACAGGACATAAGTTCTGGTCATAAAATATCCATTCAATGATTTTACCTCAGCTTGTTCCATGCGCTGTGCGAGCTTTGGCATTCCTTCTCTGTTGTCGAACCCTCCATTGACATAATATATTCTTCTAAGAAAAGCATCCATCTGGTCTTCACAATTTTTCCTGCAGAAACAAAATAAAGAGAGTCACTGCATGCCGAGGCATGCAACCATAGTTAAGTCAATGGTCTCTCTCTCTTTCTCTCTGTGTAAAACAGAACGAAGGCATTTCACATGTCAATTTGAGGCTGGCTCCAATTACACTTACCATGAGGAAGCATTTGCTTATTCCTCGAATGTGAAAAAAGTCAAACTAAGTTAAAACTTTGAGTTTTGAGTGTGAGAGGGCTCCCCAATATGGAGAAAAAGAGATAAGAAAATGCAATTACTTATTTAGTTTATGACGACAATTTTGCATGAACTTTGGGACTAATCATGCACGCATACATGCATTCCACGAGTGATTCTCAAATATTTAGCCGAAAAATAAAAAATCTAAAGCTTGCAAGTCATAGGGAAGAGGGGGAGAGATAGAGAGAGAAGCGCACTGGTGATCAATGCGACACGTTAAAGTTGAAGCAATCATGGATCTCAAGACTTCATCAGTCAAGTCTTTCCTTGAATAACCAAATATACTGAAATTCTGCAGCAATAAAAGAACAAAGGCTGGTTTAAAATAGGCATGGAAGAATTACATTCGTATTTAAAATGTTCATATTTCCACAGGCCATGCTTAGCATAAAAGTATTTTACCCAACCACCAAAGCTACTGGACCAAACTCAATTTTCATTTGCTTTCTATTGACTCATATTTCACAAGAGGAACAGGGAGCATAGTGGTTGCTATAAAATATAAATCAAAGAAGTCTAAACTTAGTAAAGGTTGAGGATCTCTTTCCTTTCCAACAACCATCCCAGAAAAAGCCTTAAACATTTGAATTTCAGACTGAAATATTCGGCCACTGGAAGGCAAAGGTTCACTCTGTGATACAATACAAAATATGATTATTAACAAAATAACATCAGTATTTCTGACAGAAATGATTCTTCCAAGTTCCTCTCATGGACTCTAATGAACAAAAGAGGAAGAACGAGGACCTTAATGAAAGAAAACGGTATCCCAAGGACAGAAACAAAGAAAAAGAGGAACTCTATTTTTCGACCTATGGTTTTTAGTTCAAAACACATCTCATGAAAAAACAAATCCCAAGTGAAACAAGCAAAATTAAAATAATTAATTAGTAAAAGAATGAGCCACTGCACAACAAATAAAGGAAGTGCAGAACACTACCTCTGGAAGGAAACCACTGTAGAAAAGAGCAAACAATGCTGGAAAGATTTTCCTGCGGGCCAGTTCACCAGTTGCACCGATTACGACAATGCTAAGAGATTGTGAATGACCACCAGCAGAGGTAAAGTTTTTTAGCATAGATGCCGAAGATATAGTGGTATTTAAAATTTCTGATGAGGTATCCAAATGCAAACTTGACGCAGAACTACACCGATCTTGAAAACTTGCTTTGGTCCTTATGTCAGTGGAAAATGAAGAATCTGAGGAAGACCTTATTCCAGACTTGGTGGCCAGGGATGATGTTGATATTGGTATTCTTTCATGCAATATACTGGTTGCACCCATCCTACCATTTGAATCTGTATACTTCACAAATTATAGTCAATATAAGTCCTAAATTCGTCAGAAGAAAAGCTTTAACATAGTTGATGAAGAATTCAACCACAATTTCTCTGGCATATAATCATTTCTTGAACGTATTTTTATAATTGATTATTAAAAGTACTAGAAACTTGCGCATTACCTATACTAGATGTCTGCAAAACCATCTAATTTCTAGATTCTTGCAGAGTAAACAACAAATTGTTGTGCAATTGCAGTTATTGTTTCTCTTGCGTTTTACAGTTCCAACAAACAAAATGTATTCTGCTTAATTCCAGTCAGTTGGTAAGGCAAAATGAATGGTTTTCATCCGGAGCTTGCCTAAACTTTTCAAACATATAATGTTGTTCACAATCACAAATGCAAACATTCGAGATGTCAACCATCTAGAGCTTCAGAGAAGAAAACTTACCACAGAAGATTAGAGCTCTTCTACAGCCAATTTGATGGCTGCGTGCACTGACTACTACACCATTTACTCGGTCCTGCAAAACAGTAACAGAGTACAAACTTACTTTCTTCCATGGATGTTCATAGTCATTCATATGATTGAATGATAGCATCTTAGCTAGTATTTCCAGACCATTTAAATGCCAACCACTTTGACGAATTTACATTGCTGTGTCTCACTAATAAAAACCAAAGAGCATGCAAGCAAAAAATTACTAGCCAAAAGTGGTCCGAAAAGGGAACGTAAAAAAGACCCACCGGAAACCATGTTGGTCATAGCTGGTACTCTATTGCTAAATGCAGCCCTAGATGCAGTTCCTCTCCTTACTTGACATGCTACCTGTCTGTTCTTAGAGACTGATGGAACTCCCACTATAGAGTTTTTCTGACCTCAAGAATCATTATCTATCCCTATTCTCAAACAATACATTGAACAAAGGGGAATTGCATATCCGTTGTCAATGGAGTAATTAGTTTCTAACTTTGCACGAAACCAATGCTACATATTTCCGATAAATAATTTCAAGCAAACTCTGGAGGCAGTAAATTATTGAACAAGCTCAAGTAAGACTACTTGCCTATATATCAAGCTTTCAAATTCTGGATTGAGTTAATTATTATCTTTTTGAAACGGCGGATTGAGTTAATTTACACAACAATCAACATGAACTAAGATTATCAAAATGATCCATACTTAAAAAATAAATGAGGTGTACCCCCAACACACAGATAATATCAATAGATTATGAGCAAAAAACACTAAAAATTTACCCTTTTAAAACTACTGTATCAATCAATGTTTAGCAGCCAAACGGTGAAGATGAGATAATGTAACACCAAGAACAGATGAGAATGATCCTAATCGAGGGCAAGTTGATAACTTATAAAATAATCAAAAAACAGAATGTTCAAAAGGGCATAAATGGTTACTCCAGGACAATAAGGTAAACGAAATTTGAGAACTCAACTGTAAAACGAAAACCACGATAGGAAGTGGCCCTCCGATGAATTTGCCGGCAACTGGAAGTTTCCCAAGTCGGCGATGACAAGTTTTGAGATAGCAAAGAATTCAAAGACATGTTTGGTCACGGTGGATTCCTTGAACTTCAATTTCTTAACGGTTCATGGGCTGGTTGGTGAGTTTGTTCGATAGTACAGAGGAGAGAGTGACGAACATAAATGCTGTAGGAGAAGAACCCCTGAAACCGAGGTTTCTATTTTCGGCTGGTCCTTCGAGTTTGCTTTTTATCAATTAGTCCTTTAGCTTTATCTTATTTATGTACACATCCTTAGTTTTTTTATTAACCAAAAAAAAAAATTATTTTAGGAGCTATTGTATTTTCGTTAAAATAATCATTCCGATTCCAAAAATTCAGGATTAGAGCTTCTTGAGAAAATAATCCATATTGTAAATTTTACTAACTATTTATATGAGACGGGATGGGGGATACTAGTATTATTAGCCATGTTATACTAATGTGGAATTAAATTTGTTAGCAAGTTGATAGTGTATCTTTGCACTTTTGTCAACAATTACTAATAAAAATATTCAAACTATCACCATAAACTGTGTCACTCGTGAGGAGAGAAAAATAAAAGTTATTTAATCTTTTTTATTAAATCGTGAACATGTGCGATAGTGACCATTGATCAATGTGTCATGAGCGTAACTAGATGTTTGACCTGGGCGGATGCTCGGGTAATCTCTTAAAATTTATATTTGTAATAAAATATATTGATATTAGTATAATAATAACTTGCCTCAGACGAATACCCGGGGGAACTTGCTCAATAAAATAATATATAACTAAAAAGAATTTATTGCATTGGAATAAAAAACAAATAATAAAAAACCTCACTTTATATATTTTATTATCATAACTAACAATGATAATTAAAAAAAAAAAGTAAAAACAAATGAATACGTGGCCAATGGCCGGTCTATGATTTCATTGGTTACACAATTAAAACAAATCATCAGAAAAAAGAAATTTGATGAGGGACATAGATTTCTAAAAAAATAAACACTTTTTTTAGAAAGTGTTCTTCCAAATGTCCCAAATCCTGACCTATTATTAATTACAATGTGTTTAGGCTATTCAGCCTCAGTAATCTTTAAAATCAAAAGCAATTCAAAAGTTATAAAGATAATGGAATAGTGAACATGTGCGATTCAAAATCCGACGGTATAGTGACCATTGATCAATGTGTCATAAGAGTAATATATGTAGTATATATGGAACATATATAGTAAGATTATTGGTTTGTATCCATTGGCTTACATTTGTGAGTAAGACTATTGGGATGACCCAATTGGCTTTCATTTCTGATTTTTTTTATTAACAAAAATAAGGGAACTTAGCTATTATTAGCTGGAATTGACACCGTCATTTTCCATTGATACAAAGCAATAGATGAAATACATCCAATTATGAAAGACGAATTGTCTCCTTTTTTTTCTTTTCTTTTTTCCTTTTTCTCTTTTTTTTCTCTTTTTTTTTTTGGGCGCATTCCATTATTTAACTTACTAGCATCTCAATGATTTTTCTTCTAAGAAAAAAAAAAAAAAATGGTGGGATGGAAGTGAAATAACCTCCCACTTTTTAAAAATTAAATTCCCCGTCCCAAAATTATCATCTAATTTAGATTTTCAGTTTTGGTTCAAATTGTACTCAAAATGAAAATTTAAATTGGGTAATAATTTTGGGATAGAGGGAATATGTAATTTGTTCTTATAACTCTTATTTTAGAGGGAATCATGTATCAAATATATGTTATTGTGAAGTAGAGGATAAAGTTTTAACATAAGTTAATTGATTGAAAAGAAATAATAATAATGTATTTCAAAACCAGTGAATTCGAAATGCCCTTTTAGAGCATCTGCAACCATTCCACTATAATTTACACCAAGTTTAACGTAAAAATAGAATATTCTAAGAATCTTTTTACACCAAAGTTCTTTGCTCTCCAATTTTGATGCACTAAATGATTTAAATATTTAATGTTTTAGGTTAAATTTTATTTTGTGATTAATTAAAATCTTGTAATCTGTTGATAATTTTGTAAAATTTGTTTCTTATAATCACTTTTTATTTGATTGTAGTAGTATCATTTTTCTCCAATTTTGTTTCATATTCAATTTTAATAATACTTACAAATTAATTTTTTTAAAAAATAAATTTTGTATTCAATATGAGTCTTATTTTGAAGATCTCAACAGAGTATATAATATGATATAATTTTCACAATATGATTCGTTTTACAAGTTCAATTACATAGTAAATATATATTTAGATCAAACTAAATAGATAGTGAACTAAAAATCGTGTATTGAACAATTTACATTAAATCTGGTGTAACATTATTCATTGCACCAACATAGTGCAATGATTTGGTGTCTTTGTTGGAATGTAATCTTTACACCAAATTTAGTATTTTGGTATCTTGATTGGAGATGCCCTTAATGAACAAATCGTTGAGTCTCATTATATACTCTTCTGATTAAAATTAAGTAAGAGAACAAAACCAATCATGAAATAAACTTTGCTCCATTTAGAGGAGAATCATACATGTTTCAACCGTAAATCGTAATAACAAGATGTGACTTGGTGGTACTAGAATATGAGGAGAAATAAAAGTCTTCGACTCGATAGCCAAACTAAGGCCCTGTTTGATAAATTAATTAAGTACTTAAACTTATTAGTTAAGTATATAATTGATTAGTATTATTTGATAACACAATTTCATAACAACTTAATTGATTAAGAACTTAATTTATTAAAGACTTAAATTTTAAGTGCCTTTGATAACTCAAAGTAAGATTTCTTAATAAATTAAGTGGGTCTGAAATGCTAGTACAAATGTGAACCTAAATAAGTGATAGACCTATCACTTATATCTGAATTGAATTCTTGAGACGATTTTTTTCTATACATTTATTTTTATGTTTATACGTTTGATATTTTATCTTGAAATATTTTTATTAATCATGATGTCTAGTTCTAAATTAAAAATTTATGTAAATTATTTTTATTTAATAAATATTTATTTTTATATAAAAATTAAAATCTATTAAATTCCATGATCAATATATATTTACCATAAAATATGATTTTTTTTGACAATGATAAAATATGATATTATTACTAACTGAAAAATAATAACATAATAAAATTTAAATATTTTATTATATTATTTAATAATAATATTATTATTATTATTATCATAATTTCATATACATCAATTATTTTTTTAGATAAAATTATAAGCCAAGATACTTTAAATTTCAGTGTTCAAACTTCAGATTTCAGACATTTTATTCAGTGTTTAGATTTTGGTTTTTATCAAACACGACAAAGTTAATCAGTTCAGTACTTATGATTCAGTGTTCAGATTTTAGACTTTAGATCCAAATTAAGTTTTATCAAACGGGCCCTAAGCTTATCTAAGCGTACACAAAGTTGAGATCTTAATTCTTTTTTGTGACTAGATGAGTCATCTAAGGTATATTGTATTAGTTGATTGTAAAATTGTAAGTTTCGAATTTTTATCATTAGAAATTAATCACTATTGGCCCCCAAAAAAAAGGGGGGAAAAAAAAGAGCGAGATGAATTCACATTCTCGTATGATTTCATCTAATGCAACTATTTTATTTTATTATATTTTTTTTTGGGGTTGTTCTACATGACTCCCCGAAGAGCAAAGAGTTCACAACCTTTGGTTAATTGTTTATTACTTTTACTTTTGTCTTACTTTTTTAGGTGTTTATTTATTATTCATGCTTAACTGTACAATGATTTTGGCTCCATTATAGACTATATCAAAATTTCACAATGTGATTGAAACTCGTTCACTTGGGCCGTACATTTTTCGTTAAATAAAACTTCAAACGTTGTAATAATACTATTCAATACAAAATAGCACATATGTGCAAAAAAAAAAAAAAAATTACACGTTGAGTTTTAAAATTTATACTATTTTTAGTACAAAAATATGAAAACTCAACGAGTATTACTTTTTTTCTTAGATGGAGAAAGTATAGAATAAGATGCATTGCAAATATCTTTTCTTGGAGGGAGAAAGTATAGAATAAGATGCATTGCAAATCATGTAAATCAAACACAGTAACAATTTCTTACTCTCCCGAAAATATAACTGAAAAAGAATTCAATCAATTCATTAGATTACATTGTTTATTCAGGGATAAATTTTTGACTTAGGCAAGAGAAATCTAAAATATGTATTGGGTTGTTGAAGGATTTTCTCATATAATATGTAGATTTTTTTTTTAAATAAAATTATTGTAAACTCCATCATCATCACAATAATTACGTAGGTATATAATTAGTATGCATCCAATGTACATTATGTTCTCAATGATAGCGACCCCCCACTACCACGTTCTTTTTCTATATATATAATCTAATCTGTAAAGGAATCAATCAGTTTTCAGTCTTCCGCCATTATTAGATAAGACTTTGTGGTTTGAGTCCATTGTTTTTGTTTTTCTTTTTTCAGGCTTCCTTTCTGCTTTCAGGTGAGCAACAAAGTTATCATCTTTGATTGTATTTGCTTCCAACTCTCTCTTTTTTTTTTCCTGGGTTTTTGTGTTGGTCCAATCTTTTCTGGATGTTGATGATCAATCTCATGTTTGATGATTCATTGATTACTATGGTTTATCTTCCGTGTTTGAGTTGAATTTTACCTGGGCTTTTGTTTGTTGAATCATGAAGTAAGAACCATGGCTTCTTTGTGTGTGTTTGAACTGGTCTATGAGGGGTTTAAGGTTTGTTTGTTTTGATGTGGAGATGGTTGATTCTGAACGATGGTTTGTTGAATCGATTTTGTTGTGATTTTCCGAGGTGGGGTTTTTAAAGTTTTTCTATAGCAGCCTTATCAGACTTTTCTTTTGGGAGTTCTAAACGCGTGTCAGTGTGTTTATGGCTGATCCAATCCACATGTATAGATTCTTGTGCAGCATGGGACTAATTAATTAATGCGATTTTGGTAATAAAAATTTTCCATTTCCTTCGTGATTTTATCTGCTTCTCTCACGCCAGTAGCCAGCACACTAGAGCAGAAAAAAATTCAAATTTTGGATTCATATATGTCAATGCATCACTGAATTTTGGCCTTGAAAGCATTGTTCAGTTCATTGGTTCACCCCGTTGGTGGAGTCTTCGAGTTCCCATTGATTGTTTTGTCACAGAATGGAAAGATTAATGATGCTCTGCTTGTATCCTAATTGTTTGTTTCTTTTCATCTTTGACACAGGAATTACATCGCCAAGGTTCGTTCTTTTCCAATAAATTTTGATACTTGGCGATTGTTAAGCACGCTTGAGTTGTTGATCAATGGGGTCTGAAGGGCCTCCAGCTGTGACTATCCATGTTACTGGTTTTAAAAAATTCCATGGAGTTGCAGAAAATCCAACTGAGACAATTGTTAACAATCTAAAAGATTATATGAAGAAAAGGGGTCTTCCCAAAGGGGTGATCCTTGGTAGCTGCAATGTTCTTGAGACGGCAGGACAAGGGGCTGCGCTACCTTTATATCAGACATTGCAATCTAGTCTAAGTAGAGATGCGAATGATGCAAGTCCGGCTAGAGTTATTTGGGTAAGTTCCCTGTTTTCCTTCATTGATTATCAAACCTCTTTCGCTGTATCTTCAATGAATGCAGTACTAAATGATTATTTGCTCAAATGTTCTGTTGACCGGATGTTGGTGGATGGTCATCAGTTGAAAGTTACTCAAATAGTTAGTTAGTTTCAGTTCTGGAATTTTATTACCTAGCATAATGAAAATGGAATTAATTGATTACCCTTTTTTTGCCTTAACATTGAACTGAAGAAACTTTTTATCTGAAATGAGATCTACTTGTGAGAGTACACTTTGGTTGCCATTGCCATATCATGGATCATACTCAACATTGACCGGGGGTATGTAACGGAAAACTCAGGGCTTATACTTTTGAATTTGATCAGTATGCTGTTTTATGACGAGATTGAGGCTACTTTCGTGTTACATTGACAGATTGGGTATGCAAAGTGGTACGACTTAGAAACCAGGAGAGTGTATGCATCAGGATTGTATTGTTTAAACCATTAGAGTCCCAAAAGGTTTGAGTAGGGTGTAGCTATTATATGGCGGCTGTGTGTCACAATTTGGGTACAAGGGAATCAACAAGAATGAGCATTTTCTGGTGAACAGAATCTAAAATTATCTTGTTTCTAATAATCCTTCCTTAGTTTGATTTATGATTTAAATATTATTCTCCATTGGAAAATTTTGAACTGATCCCTTTTCCATCTTCTGTTCCTGTTTGGTAGTCAAACGATTACAACACATGTCTACTATGGGATCTTATGATTCGCTGGAATGAAAATTCTTTTTTTTTGAACTTTGAATAGCAAGCATTGGTTTTGGATTTTGGCCCGTTAATAATTTGATTGACTATTAGAGATGAGCAATTGCAATTGTTGTGATCCCATGTATTTTTTATATTGTCCAAGCTGTTTGTTTAATTTTAATTAAAATGTCAAGTTTCTTGCCTTTCTTGACTGTGATTGCTCAGGTACATTTTGGAGTTAATAGTGGTGCAACAAGGTTTGCAATAGAGAGCCAAGCAGTCAATGAAGCCACGTTTCGTTGCCCTGATGAGATGGGATGGAAACCACAGGTCTGTTGTACTTCCATCTTTTTGTGGATTTTCCATTATGACTTTGATAATATATTAAATGTGTTGTTCATTTGTTGCAGAAAGTTCCTATAATCCCAGCTGATGGTGGAATTTCGAGAACACGAGAGGTAAAGCTGTTTCTTTGTTTAATTTCGTTTTATTGCTTGTGTAGTTTCTTTGCAATATTTATGGTGTAATTATGTGTAAGTTAACAAGATATGGAACGCGGCATAATTTGAAAATGGGGGTATTTTAAACATGGAAATGAGCATCTGATCGAATACGAGATGCACTACTTTCCTTCATTTCACAGTTACCATACTTGCTCAGTTTTGTGAATGAATGAACTTTCTATTGAATCTACCGGCAAGTTTAAAGTTTCTGATTTACGATGCATTTCAGCTTTACTTGGTTGTGTATTATTATCCAAAAATGACAATGTTCTTGCTCTATGTACAACACTTGTACACAGGAGTTGCCTCTAACACGGGGAATGATTCCTCAGATAAAGATATGTATCTGCTTGATTTTCAATCACATTTTACTATCTTAGTGATGGAATTTTTGGTGACAGTTTTGGATATCCATGTCGATAGGGCAAGCCAATTTGACCACTCTGTTGTGGTGAATTTGAAAATTTCTTTGCTTTTGGTTTATCTGTGTTAGTTCGAAATGTAGATTTTCTCTTCAAGGTGCTGGAATCCATCAGTGCTGAAAATGTTATGTGCTTCTTTGAAGAGTGGCATGTGCCTGATTATAACTACCCTTCAGAACAGTCTGTTTGTGCAAATTTAAATGCTCCATGTTGAAATCCTTATGTTCATTTATGAAGGGAAATAAGAAGCAAGAATGATATAATGGTAAAAAAGGCATTTCAATATGTAAAGGACCGTGACACTTGTCGAGTTTTTGTCCGGCCTCATTCTTCATCATTTCAAGGAGACAACTTGTCGAGGTGCACATCTGTTCTGTGGACTTCGGGGAGAAGTCCTTCTAGTTGCACCCTGATTTTTCCTTTATCTTGTTAGAGAACCACAAATATACTATTGAAGTACCCTGGTGTAGCTCGCCAGATGCATTATTGACCATGCTTTTTCAGAAAGCATTCGATCTCGAGTGTCTGGAATGCAGATGCCATTTAGAAGAAGGAGTCATAGGATGCTAGTGGTCTGTCTTACCACCTTACTTTGGATTCTAAATAATCTGAAGACATCAAAGTGCAGTTGCCGCAAGCAATTATATCATGACTACATATAGCTATCTGTTGTAGTTCTTTTGAGCTTATTGGCGAGCGCAAATGATTATTTTGTTTGGCATTGATATCATGCATTTTTGTGGAAATTATTAGTCTTTAATCTGTGTCATTTTCCCTTTGGCCAGACATCTCTTCCTGTGGAGGAAATCACAAGGTCATTGGCTAAGATGGGCTATGAAGTGATGACTTCTGATGATGCTGGTCGATTCGTCTGCAATTATGTATACTATCATTCCTTGCGTTTTGCCGAGCAGAATGGAATCAAATCACTATTTGTACATGTGCCCCTCTTCTTTACTATAGATGAGGAGACACAAATGCAATTTGCTGCTTCCTTACTGGAGGTACTTGCGTCTTATTGTTAGACTATTTTTTTCTTCCAAACTGAGAGCTTTTTTGCTCTGCTGTTGTGTTCGTGTATTTGAAGGTGTGCTTTAATAAACTCTTTATTGTATGTGAATGGAAAAGTTGATTTTTGCAGAGATTGATGCCTCCTCACGTTTGTTGTATCATATTTTTACTGCCTCCAACATTTTGAATATGGAAAGAATGGTTCTTGTAATTGCGGTTACAGCTTATCGTAGTTCCCATGTCTTAATGCGAGTGTTTCTATGTTTTTGCATCATTACTGTAAGAAAGATAGAACAAAACTTAGGTTCCCCTAATAATAGTGGCACCAGGTTTCAAATTTTCGCCATTTGACAAAACTGCAGCAAAACTTGTTCTGCTGCATGAGTAAATAAACTAGGGAGTGTGCGGGTTCAACAGTTTGTTCATAGAGATGGAAGGTTGTGTTCTTTGATATCAGTCTGAACTCTGAAATGTTCTGCTAGCTCTTATATGCTCAACCATCGGGATGATGATTCTTTGATTCATCTGGTCTGAAAATCTGAAACAAAGCAAGTTCTTCATGGCTCTACTCTCCTCTCTATATGTTCTTTTGGAAAAAAAGGGCACATTTCATATTGCAAAAGATCTCATGATGTGGGGAACGTTACCAAATTATATATGGAGGAAGCCTCAATTGTATTTAACGGTAAAAACTTTAAAAGAAAGTTCACAAAGGTAAAACTTTTAAAGAAGTTTACAAGAGCAAATGTTCAACTGTAATATCGTTGTTATATCGTGTGGGATGGTAAAACCAAACACGCTTACAAATCGGTACAAATTTTATGGGAAGAGATGAAAACAAATAGGCCCAAACTAGTTACTACGCACATAACAGGTGTTTGACCCATCTTTATTGGGCCAAAGAAATGATGAAGGGAATTGGATTATTGGATTTGCTGCGAAGCTAGGCTGTTGTAGTGTACTGGAAGCTGGAAACTAGGCACTATTGAGATGCTCACAATTCAGCGAAAGAATTAATTACTGTTACAGACGGTGGATATTTTGCAAATATGAGAAAAAAAAGAAAAAGAATTGTCTGGAACTTAGGTTTCAGGAATGTTCAATTAGATTTTTAGAGTTCACGGAGGTTGTTGAGTTTTCTACTCATTTGTAAACAGTCATGTTTAGTGTAGGATTGGAAGTCTCCTTTTGCTTAACTGGTGCGTTCAAATTAGTGACACCGGACATAAATTAAATGTCGTCGCAGATGCTTTGACAAAGTTTAGACTTTCGTCTCTAGTTGAGTGTCATATTTTGTCAACGCCTCTCTCCGACATAATTAATAGTCTAAAAGTAGATAAGTAGCATTATCCCAAGCTCGTAGGGATGTTTTCTAAATGTAAAGCCTCATGCTTCCTTCATAATTTTTTTTAAAAAATTTCCCAAATAGTAGACTATTAAGTTTTATTTTTCTTTTTCTCGTATTAGCTCAAAATTTACCGATATTGTTACTATTATTATGGTGGCTTTTGTTTAATGATTGCATGTTCATAATATTTTAAATTCATTGTCATATTTTGTTTGATAGACGTAGCAATATTTTGATGGATTAGTTTAATTCTTTGCGAACACTGCTTATATTTCTCTTTGGACTTGTCCAATCAAATTTCCTCCTCTCAATAATGATGTCTTCCGCTATTTGATTGCTTGCTTGTGTGATTCAATTTTGTTTGAGTTCTACATTTTACATAGTTGCATCCAATAAAATTGGGAATTTATTCTCTTTAGAAGATGAAAACTAGACCATACCCTTTTATTTTTCTTCCTTCTTTTTTGTTCTTGTGGAACAAATAAGTCATCTTTTCTCATGTGATGTTTGTTGCAACTTTTTTAAAGCCGTTATCCTTCTCCAAAAAATAAAAAAAGGAAAAAGAGAAAAAGAAAAAGGAAAAATTAGAACAGTAAGAGAGAAAATAGAAAAAGACAAAAACATGAAAACAAAGTAAGAGAAGTTAGTGGAAAGTCAAAGGGAGAAAATAGAAAGGAAAGGTTGACCGAGCTAATTTTAGAAAGTTAATTAGGTTATGAACGAGTATTCAACACTGTTCAAGTTGCTTTTCGTAATTTCTAATTTTCCATCAGCATCACTAAAAATTTTCTAAATTTTTTTTTATTGGAATATAATTTTTTTTTTAACAAAGCTGCATTCTCGAGCAAGAGGCAAGTGAATTTCCCCGTGATTATTCTGTCAATGTGGAACTGAATTCTTACTAATGCAATTCATTTTTTTTTTTTGGGAACAAATAAATGATTAATGTGGAGAATCGGAATTGTCTATAAAGGATGCTACAATCAACAAAATTAATACTCCAACGATTTTATCTAGTCGCACCTTTAAACTCAAAAGTTAATATTTCCTCTTCGGTTGAATACATAATAGCGTTAGTGATGCAGAAGGTGTTATTTTTTTTTTTTTTTTTAGCTTTTATTTTTTATTCTTGTTCAATATTATATTTAAGAGCAACATTGTAATCAAATTTTTTTTTTTTTGAGTATTCAACTACGCAAGAAAGAACATAATATTATAGGATTGTAGTATTGGACCAGCCTATATTTCAACATCTTCCATTTTAGGTATTGTTTCAGTTTAACAAAATAAATTATTTTCATAAAAATGGAAAGAATAAAACTCAAAAACTTATAGTAATCTGCATAATCTAAACAGAAATGTGTTTAATTAAAATACAATACACAAGAATTAATCAGATAATCATTTTAGACAGAAAAGAGTATAGAATTGTTTTGAAGATTAAATGAGGAATCTTGTGTGTGTGTTGAGAAATTACTGTGTGGATGGTGACGCTTGGGCATACAAAGAGGGGGGGGGGGGGGGAGGAGTGTGTACCCTCTCGTGCACCGTCTACTTTTTGCCTTTGTTGAGCGCATGCTTCCTCTTCTTTCTTCTTCTTCTTCCCACATTTATATCTTTCTTTTTTCTTCTTCTTCTTTATTTTCCTTAAGGGAATTTGGAGTGATGTGGCCAACCCAAATAACTAAAAAATAAGGCCTTCTTGTTGAAAACTGTAGATACAGTCACAATTGAAAGCAAATATTTAAAGCCCCACAGCCGTCCTCCACTCGCAAGTCGCAACCCTAAGCTCCCTCCCCTTTTTGCTTTTCTGCTCATGAAAATGATGCACTCCCGATTTCTTACCTTACATTCTTCCATGCTTTTTTTGCTACGATTTGGAAGAATTTTTAGGAATGCCAAGTTAATTTCAGTTTTTACCACGTAAGAGTGTTGTCTATTTCTTCTGGATGAGTCTGTAGGAAAGTAGCTTGAATATCGAAAAACAATAATTTCGACATAATTAAATAGAAATATATAATTCAAAGTACATTTTTTTATAATTTATACTATTTTTGTCTTAATGTGATTTTTCAATATTTAATTTTTTGAAAATTTATGCTATAAATAAAAATATAAATTATATAATTATTTTGAGACGAATGAAATATTCCTTATTTGTACTGGCATGCATGACACCACGAGTAGGCTGCGTGTGTTTGGTTTCGTCCAAACAATATAATGTATACATATTTTCGTCCAAAAAATATAGTGTATGCATGAAACCGTATACATATTTTCTTGAAATCTAAGGAAAAATGAATAGTGTTAAGAATGCACCCTGCCAGAAGAAAGCCTTGGTGTACAATTTTGTCCCAAACTGTAAATCAGAAGAAGAATCCATAGCTTTTTTTAACTTTCTGTCGAGATTCGTGTCAGCCCAAAAAAGAATGTTATGAAACCCTTTGAAGTTTGTTTGCCACTATGAACATGAGCCATCTTCTTCCACATGCTGTGTGTGAATTTATGGTATGTTCGCAAACAGGTTCGCCAGCCATGATCTCAAATTTTCAGTTGATTTCTTGCCATTTAAAAAGAAAAATGATTTTTTTGTTACCAATTGTGGGACATGAAATCCATTGCCATTGGGCAAACATTATTTTAGTGCTATTCTTTTTGTTACTCACACCTTCATAATCTAAAAATAATAGCAGTATTTGTTAAACTAAAATAGTATTATGATGAGAGTATTTAAGGATTTAATGAAGTCATCTTTTGATTAAACCAACGAGTTCATTCTTTATTTGGAACTCAATACTCCCTCTATTCCAAAATAAGTGTCGTTTTAACAAAATGGAAAAATATCCAAAATAAGTGTCGTTCTCACATTTCAATGCACTTTTTGTCAAAAATTTTCAAAATTACCCTCAAATTAAAAGAGTTGATGCTATTGGTGGACAATTTTATAATGGGGTTGGTTGAGAATATTCAAGTAATTTTATAACCCTATTTAAGAGTTTCTTAAATTATGTGAAAAGTGTAGGACGACACTTATTTTAGAATGGAAAGAGTATTTGTAAAGTTTGTCGAAAAAAAGTTAGAGCTCCTTTCTTTTTTCTTTTTTTTTTTGGAGGGGGGGTCTCTAATATAATCAGTTAACCTTAAATAATAATATGAACTAGATGTTTGCCCGGGTAAATACCCAGGGTGTTGCCTGTATTTTTAAATTGATTAAATAAAAAATAAGAATCATTTTTAAAAGAATAAAAAAATTAGAAGAATAAAAAATTGATTTAAAGGACAGAAAGTGAGTTATTACACATAAATTTATGCCCAAATTTACAACATTTAATTTATAACAGTTAACTTATGCTCGGGTTTACATAAATCATAGACCAATATCTACAACAGAAGAATAAAAAAAAATCAGCCTTAAAAAATCAAATTTCTTTCATGACAGTTTATTTTTGCTCTGTTGTAGAAAGAGATGGATTGATAATTGATGTCAAACTTTAAGTAATTGATTTAAAGGCCCAGGTGTGAGAGAGGAGCGAAATGGAAGAGATTCTTTGAAATTGGGGATTAGGAAGACATTACTGGTGTTTCACTTGATTTAAGGGGATTTCCTTACAATATTTTATCAACTAAATATTGTTGTTTTAAGAGATTAGTATATACCTATAATTAAGATATTTTTATGTAGTTATAATTAAGGGATTTATGTATTTATCTATTCTATTTTTTTTCTGATTAGTTAGAGTATCACGTGTCAAAAATGATTTTGTACTGAAAATGGTTTTTGGCGGGAAAATTTTCATTGTGCTACTGACACATGTTCTTTTTGTTTGCTGTTTTAATTAAGTACTATAGATTTTTTAGCTAGCGAAATGCCCTACTAATATAATAAGGAGTAAAAAAGAAACGATCCACACAATCATTTTCCAAGTTTTCACTCTGAATATATTAGACGGAACATCATTTTGAACTAAAAAATTAAATTCGACGGTCATTTTGTAACAGATAAAATATACTAGGTTATCGACTGCAACTATTCAGATTGGAAATGCAATTGTAGGCTAATGGTAAAACTGTAGTAGATTCAGTGACCATTTCGCACTATGGCGAGGGAGATAATTAATATCCCTTTCGATTTGCAAAATATCCATTGTTTATTTATTTTAAATTGGTTTTTGAAGTGAAATAGTGACGCAAACATACATACAACGAACTTGACTGAGAGCAATCGATAGCAGATAACCAGACTTTTGTTTTCTGCCTTTTTAACCCCATTCCCATTTGGAAGTTTTGGTAAACAACAAAAGGCAACACGATACGCCGAAAAAAATTGAAAGTAACCTTTTTTTTTTTTTTCTATATTTATAGGGTGTCCATTGTCGACAACAGTGACTACTCCCTCTCGTTAAATTATAAACCCCTCAATGAATAAGACAGTTAGCCAAAGTATTTAAGGTTGTTCCATGCTCATGGCTAAAGTAACTTTATTCAAATGCCCACTGTGCCTTCTCCATGCCTTGGAAATTAATGGTGTGGCATTTATCTCTAACTTTCAAAATTTCCATTTTCCTTGATTGCTTAATTTACACTATATTTGAACTACAGAACTCGGTATTACAATTTCTATATGCAGTCCTTCCATTATCTTTATATCTGACCCATGCATGTTCTCTTTGAGTGAATGAGACAATATTCAATATCAAATTCTCCATCTTTTTTTTTTATTATAAATGGATAAGCAAATAAAGTTATGTTAATGGTTCTAAATAACTATCACAGAAAGGTCCTAACAATTTTCCCTCTATTTTTTTTTTTAAATAGTCCACTCAGGAAGGATTGATGATAATATTTCTCATTTTCGTACTATGTAGTATTATGTAATGATTGCTTCACCATAATAGTGTTGGGTCCAAACTTTTGTAAAAATGTTCCCTCTTTTTTCCCCGAAGGTAAGACAATTAAAAAGCAAAGAATTGTAATTTCGAAATTCTGAGTTTTTGAACCGGTAGATGCAATTTAATTAGGAAGAAAAATAAGAAAAAAAACATCAAAGAGAGATTTTTTTGATAGGAAAAGCTTGATTACAATAAAATTAAATCTTACACTTTCCCTTGTCATAATACTAATACATTCAGATCGGTCTATACGATTAATACACTATTTATATATTATCCTTAATAAAGACTACATAATATTCGTGCATGCATGCATGCATTTCCTCCATGCTACACGAAGTTCAGAAAATGCTCTAAATTGTTTAATTAGATATCAATACATATAATTAAAAAAAAAATCAGCAGTACTGATTAACACCATCATTTGGAGCCAAAGAGTCAGGAATCCCTTCCAACAAGCAATAAACCGGCGGAATTGTAAGTGTCTTCAATGCTCCATAAGCTTTCCAACAAAATGCATCCAAGAACTTGACCCCCTGAGCTGGGTACAATTCGACTTCCGACATCGTGATATTCGTGCACGGCGAGGAATCGCTGCACGCCAGATGCATCGGAGGGCTCCTAACGTCGTAGGTGCCCTTGATGTTCGCGTAAATCACGTCGGAAATGTACACCGCCGACGTCTGGTTCTTGCACCCTTTAGTGTCACAATAGTATTGGTCGATGATGATGGGATTTCTAACCGTGTCCATCACTATGTTACTAAATGTCACCTTTGATACCGACCCGAACCCGCCTTGCCACGTCTTGATCCGGACCCCGTTATCCGAATGTCGGATCACGGAGTCCGTCACCGTTATGTTTGATACACAGGCTTTTGAATTGTGCATTCCCAGGCTGCCAATGCTGCAGTTTACAAGATCATAATAATTTCAGGTTGATATACTTACTTGATGGTCAGTAAAAGATAACATAAATCGTTGAAAAATGGGACCAGATTGGAGTTTATGCATTATGGGGTTTATTATAATTTATTATTCTTTCTTTCTTCCATTTTTATATAATATTATCATTTAGCATTTCCGGGATGTCCGTAGTTTTGGTGGTTGTAATGGATCTCTTGTATATGATATTGCACGCTTAGAAGATATTGATAATTTACTTAATTTGTTTTCTTCTAATGATTAATTAGTACTTTTTTATTCAAAAGAAGAGAAGAATAGAAAAAAAGTGAAAGATTTTGTATTTAATAAATATTTTTGATGTACCTTATTCCATGACTGGGACCGCAAGTTATGTTCTTTATGTCTACATTGTGAGTACCAGCTCCAATTGATACACAGTCATCACCTATATATATATATATATAAAAAGGCAAACTATAAATAATAAACATAATCAATAGTAAGTACGTCTTGTTAATATTACTCTAAAGTGCTAATTGATACATAAAATGCGAGACAGATGATTCTGTATACAACTAAAAATGTAGGGATGGCGAAAGCCGAAAATGAAGGGAACTAGTGGTAGTTTACCATTGTAAACAACGGTGTTATATATTTTGACATCAGTTGAATTCTCCACATGAATACCATCAGTGTTGGGGCTAAGGGAAGGTGCTTTAATATGAAGTGAGTCAATATAGATATTATGGCAGCTATCAAATCGAATGTGCATTTGGGGGCTGTTTCTGACTCTAAGCCCTTGGAGAGTCAGATTACTGGACCAAAAAAATCTCATAGCCTGCACAGAAGAAAGTACAAAAATTAGTTCAAGAAATGTGACTATTATTATGAAACGGACGGAAAAGAGTAATTGACATAAGAGTATAGAGGTGGAAAGAACGACTTAGGACTATATATACTTACAGTGGGGCTATCACAAGGTCCAGGTAGAGTGGTTCCATTTTGTCCCTGTTTGCATTTAAATATTGTTGTTAATGTAAACTAGTTAGAAGGCTTAGAAAAGCAAAAAGGGAAGTGATAATATGCCCAAAAAGAGCGCATATAAGAATTTAGTAGTATTACTTTGTGTGGTTTGCAAGGAAGATTCCACCACTTCTCTCCTCTCCCATCTATCATTCCACCACCTTGCATTAACATCCCGTTGATCCTGTAGAATACTAGCCATTGCCTCTTGCTGAAATTTTTCGGCCACGAATCCGGTCCATCGGGCGGTATAATTGTACCTTCAATCTATAATAACAACAACAACATTGTTGAAGGAATTAATAGCTGTCGTTTCAAGTAGTACATTCACTGTCTATATCATTACTCATTTATCAGTTACCTGGAAAACCAGATTGCTTTTGCATGGACCTGTGAAAATGGAGGACTGTATCAAAAATGTGTAGCGATTGGGAACTAAGATTGTCGCAGTGTCATCAACATGGCAAGCATCATCCCAAGCCATCTTGAAGGCTGGTGCATCGTCCGTGACACCATCCCCTACTGCGCCGTACGATAAAACGTTGAAAATATGCGCAGAATCGGATGAATCGCCGCTTGAAACAACGCTCGGCGAGGGAGCCGGGGAATTAGGAGCCGGTGCCGAAGCAAAAGGCTCAGGTGCACGCGCCGGTGCAGGAGAAGGAGGTAATGAAATTTGAGATATTAGGCTAAGATGCGGCTCCGGTTTTGGTCTTGCCTCTTTTGAGTAGTTACTCAAAATCCTGCTATCAACCGAATAAGCCGAAAAAAGGAAGAAAACGTAGAAAACAGGAAGGAAAACTTTGAAATCCATCAAACACTTGGAGGGTTATTTTTTGCCTTCTGGTTATGTGACAAGGGAATTGGATTTATACAAGTAAAAGGAAAAACTGTAAGCAAATTGAACTCGGCTAGTTGGTAAATAGCATGCAGAATATCTTGGTCCCCTGGAGTTGTGGAAATGTCTCTATTGAGTATTGACTAGGTTGTTGAGATCAAAGAGCATGCTTATGACACTTTATCTCTATATCTCTATATCTCAGGGAATGGAACTCAAAATCAATGGCTAAAGATTATAGTTTTGACGTAGAGTGAAGGCACCCCACGTTTTGAGGAAGTCTAGGAAAAGTGCCAAAACAGAAGTGAAGTTGAGAGAAGTTGTGTGTGTGTGTGTGCGTGTTTATGTATGTGAAATGTGACCACCCTAGTACTCAAACAAACAACTTGTGTGCGCGCTATAATTTGATCACTTCAGTTGCAAAACAGCTCGCTATTTTCCAATTGTTTTTCCGATGAGAAAACCGCAATGGGATATTGGGGGGAATTTATAGTAACAATGTAACCGTTAGTGGAATGACACTTTTTTTCCAGGGTCGGTTGATGGACCTCATATTTTTAATCTTACCAATACCGACCAATCCCATTTACAGTATTGTGTGTGTGTGTGTGTGTGTTTTAAAAAAAAAAAAATTCCGGTGAAGAAAGGGGAATTGTATGGTGGAATCTGCAATTCAATAGGGGCATCATCCTGAAAATATATACAAAAGAAATTAAAAAATGTTTAAAAAAGGGGCTGTTGTATAGCTTTTGTAAGTTGGTAGATCAGAAAGTAATCATAGTAAAATCTAAGAAATCGACACCATCACCATCCATGGCCTCCCATTGCGTTTGCCTCCACTTTGATTGGTCCCCAAGTCGGTTCTTATTTTTAGGAGGGTGGGTTAGAATTTCTAGCAGCTACTTCCCAAACAGCCAAAACAAATATTTTTTTAATTCTTAGAGAAAAAATGAAAAAAAAAATGTATATTAATTATCCGACATTAGTTTCCCTCATATAATTATACGGTAATCGATCAATCAATGTGATTTACACCCATGAAAATTACAGCAAGTAAAATAATAATGTAAGCATTGACTTTGATATATATACGAAGTTATCAAGTTGTTGTTGTACTTGTTATATATGCATGCCAATAAAGTCATTAGATAATGCTTCACTTTGGGATATTATGCGTTTTTGAGTTGAAAACTCAAAGTGTGTGTAATGTGGTTTTGATAAATATTGCACTAAGTGAGAGTGTCTTTTTTTGATACCAAAAATTGTTGAACCAATGTATTTTTGGATAAGTGGTAATTGGACCACTGCCTCATTCATCCCTTGATGGGAAACTAAAGCTAAAGTTAATGTAACCACCATAGGGGCATCGAAGAGCTGACTATAAACAAGAGCCTAGGTGAATTATCATCGAGGGAATGGTATGGAATAGCAGCTTACTTACGCAGAAAGTGTACATTTTCTTTTTAACCTATCCTTGTACTTTACTTCATTGATAACTGAAGTTCTATTTTTCCGTTCTAACAAAATTATCCTGTTTATAACTATATTATTTCAGTAAACAAGAGTAAGATAACATTATTGTATGTATATTTTTCGTCCTCTTTATTAAAATTGCAAATATGACTCTTGTTTTGAGACGATAAATTTGCCAGATTTGATCGCTTGCTTGGAAGAATTCAATGGGCTATGAATCAAGAACTACATTCATTCCCTTGAGAAGATGAATAACTTATTCCTTTCTTCTATTTACGGGGTTTTTAGCTTAGAACTAGCATCAATACGTACGTACAGATCTTAATTGTCTACATATCTTATCTTAATTAATAATCTGACGGCTGTTGTCTACCAACTGGATCAAGCTTGGATCTAACTCATTATCATGATTGAGTGCTTAACTACACATAAAAAACTGGAACTGAAACTGAATGATTTTTTTTAAAAAAAAAAATAAAAATAAAGGTTCTTGGATAATTGAGTGGCGTATCTTTGACACGAATTTCAGCCGTATTTGTTTCCTTTTTTTCGAAGAAAAGTAAAAATGACATACTGTATTCAAAAAGCTAGCAATGCTGCTTCAATATAATTAGAACTAGGTGCTTGCCCGGGTATTGTCAGACCATTTACAACATTACATTTTAAAATTAAATATATAAATGGTAAATGTGTTTTTCAACTTTAACTTAACTTGTTATATTTTAAATTTTAGAAATAATAAAAAAACATTTATTTATATAATTAATGTCTTATTATATTAATATTAATTATTGATTATAATTAAGGATAAAGAAAGTTAACAATTAAAGATTGTAGTAATTAAATTTGTTCACAAAACTACGTAGTTTTTGTTGGGCGGGAAATAGATGCATGAGAACGCGACACATCAGCCTTTTTTTTTCTCTTGGACTATTGTTTTAATAAGATATATAGATTTTAAAAGTTACATATTCCACTTAAAACCCTTCTATTACTATTGCTTGAATTTATTTATTTATTATTCTTTTTTAAAATCACTCCACATAACTTTTTGGCCGAAATAAATTTTTCTCCAAGTCTTTTGCTTCCTCAAGAATAATACTCCCTCGGGTCTTTAATATAAGGCATTTTAACTTTTCTTATATTTAACTTACTACACGTTTTTAATCGACGAAAAAACTTTAAAAATATATTTTCATATTCGTTGTATTCTCTTGATTGTTATGAAATATTTTTAAGGTTTTTTTATCGATTAAAAATGTATAGTAGATTAAACCTAGAACAAATCAAAATGCCTTATAATAAGGATCGGAGGGAGTACAAAACAACATACCAAATATAATTACTCCGTTGGCCTCGTATTTACTCTTTATTAACTTTATTTACAGAAATCATATATTTTATTTTTTTTTAAGAAAAAGAATGGCTGCCCGATCATTGAGCATATTTATTAAGAGGATGGGAATTTACTGTGATGTTACACTTTGCAGTGCATTTTGAGAAAATATACCTAGGGAATGTAAGAACACTCGTTTTGAATACTGTGTAAAATCATACTTCTAGCTGAAATTCCTGTATATCAACCAGCAGCTTGATGAACTTTACCCTTAAAACAAGATGAAATGTTTTGGTTCCGTACAACGGTACAAATGCGCCATGAACTTTTCAAATTTGGCACTTCACATATCAAAATTTCAACCAAACGAAACATTAGTTTTACACTAATTAGGTTGTTTCCAAATTGAGCAAGATGATTGACAACCTTTAAGTATGAGCTAAGCAAAACTTTATTTTGGCAAAAAAAATGCCCAAGTGTTTGGGCATTTTTTTTGCTGCAAGAACTATGAAGTGTTCTAAACGGATACATATCACATTCAATCCGGGTGAACGTACTACCCTGGTTCTAGTATCCATACGTTACTTTTCGAGTAATCAAATTCAAAGGTCTGAGGATAACGGGATAAGATCACATTAATGTTCTTTCCGTCTTGGAAGAATCCGTACTTAATCAACAACATTTCTGCAATCTTTTGGGTAGTCTTTAAGCAAATGTACCAAAAGCCTTTTTTTTTAGCAGCAACTTTGTACAGCATATTTGCTTCCTGAAAAATTAAAAGCCCGGATACAAAATATGGAATCTACTATTTGACTTGTATGATCTTATTGTCGTCTATTCATAGTACGTAGCCCTTTTCTTTTTTGGGTTTCTTTAGAGAGGAAAGAAACTTGATGTGGCAGAAATACCCAAGACAATTTAGAACTGGCATGGCGGCGACATTAACCGGCGAATACAAGTTTTTCAGTTGAACTATTTTAGTCTGATCCATTACAAAATGTGATCCATTTTAGTCGGTATGGACACACCAACTTCACTCGGTTTTTACTTGTGCAACTCAAGTATTATGTGCACCAAATTGTTGCTGCAGAAGGTTTCTAGATGACTGATTTACTCGGTATTTCTTTACTTTTGCATTCCAACTTCGTAACTCTGTTTTTTATGATGCTGAAACACAGCAAAAACCCTCTCCAAACTGCTGTATGCAAAGGTCACAGCCATGTTCAAGTAAGTGGCGTAACAGTGAATGTGAATCCGTTGGAGACAGCATTATAAAACAAAAATAATAAGAAGACATGTAAGACGACAGCTAAGACAAAATACATTTGATAAACTCAACCGTAAAGTGAATTATAATTGCTACAATTCGCAACCTCCTCCCTGTATCCAAAAAAACGAAATCATATAAAAAAAGAAGCCAAAGTCATTCTAGGAATATACAATTAGGTATTGACCTATCCCCGACTAATAAAAGGTAGAGGAGGATATCCAATCTCCAGCGGAGGCATTAGCAATGGAGGTAGAGATTGCCAGAACTTCCCATGGTCTGCCCAATCACATTACCTGCCAAAGCAACAGGAGTAACTATGTTTAACCAATCAAGTTGAAGAAGAATTGCTCAAGCTATTTTCTTCCATGGAATATAATGTGATTGAACACTATCCACGGCGCTTATTTAACAATCGGCAAGAATCAATGGTGTAAGAAGTTGTTCCATTATCTAAAATGTTCAGGAGATGCTAGAAAAGGTGAAAGTACTAGTCACAGACACCACTCCACCAAAACAAGAAAACCGTACCCCAATCCTTCCCAGTGAAACCCTCCATAACAAGGGAAAACAGAAAAATAAAAGACAAATATTTGGAGTGTTCCCATACCAAACATAATGTGATTAAAAGGGCACATAATCTCTCATGTGAACTATCAGTAAAATATTTATCAAAATGGTGGCTCTAGGCTTGTGCAGTCCTCTTTTACAGTAAAACACAGTAATAACATGACTTGCAATCCAGTGCAAATTTTAAGCATAACCAAGTTAAAAAACAAGCTTGCAAGCCATTGCGTTCTATAACATCAAAGTCAACCTTCCACCGGCAAAGTCCACTGCTTTGAACAACATTTTCATGGCTAAATTACGTGACACAGATGATTAGACTGGACATAGACAAACACATCAAGTCATAATAAATAACGTTTAATAGCTTTCAATATTGAACTCAATCATAGCATTGGCACTTGAGCTACTTCCTATTCTGAACCTATTCATTCAGATTGATTTACTGAGAGGAATAATGACGCCGTGTAACTGCAATGCGTGAAAGGTCGTTCAGAAGTAACCAGAATAAAACTGCGACAATTTTGTGCTTTGTGGTAGTTCAACTAAGTGGCAGAACAATGATTCTGAAGGCTCAAGAAGACAGTGCAAAATAACCACGAGAAAACATGTCAGAGGGTAAAGGAGACTAAATACATTTGATAAACACAAAAGCTAATTGGAGTTACAACTCAAGGCAACCATGTTATGCCAAAAACCTGCAACGCCGTCCATCGCCCCAAACAAACACAGAATCATATCTACCAGAAGCAAAAAGTAAGTCTATGATGCTGCGAAATACAGAACACAAAAATCGCGTACTGACCTATCCCCAGTCAATAAAAGGTAGAGAAGGATATCCAGTCTCTGGTGGAGGCATTAGTGATGGAGGTAGATTGCCAAAACTTCCCATAGTCTGACCAAACACGTTACCTGCCACAGCAACAGGAGTAACATGATGAGTGTGGATAATAAAAGTTCTCGACATGAACATTTAACCAATTAAGCAGGACAAACAACAATCGCTCCAGCAATTTTCTTCGGTGGAAAAGATACATTTGAACATGATCCACTGAGCTTCTTTAACAATCAACAAGAAAGCAAGGGTGTGGGAATTTGTTCAAGTAACTCAAATGTTCAAGAAGGCTCTATGACAGATGACAATAAAGTTGTCTTAGACACCAACAAAAAAACAAACACACTTCCCAATCTTTCCAAACGAAAACCCTCCGAACGAAGGCAAAAGAAGCAAAAACTTTGGAGTGTTCCCAAAATTAATGTCATAGTAGGAGCACATCAGACTTTCAGTCTCTCAGCTAAACTACCAGTGAAATATTTAATATGGTGCGGCTTACAGGATAGTCCATTCTTCCTCACAGTCTTGTTAAATACAAAGACGAGAACTTGAAATCCAGTATAAACTTTATCCATAACCAATTTAACAAACTCAAAATCTGTTGAGTGAACAGATCCAACTTCCACCCAGCAAACTACACTCTTTCAAATAACATGATCCATGACAAAATTATGTGGCACAAAAAATGCCTAGATTGGACGCATACAGATGCAAAAAGGCCTATCTTTAACTATTGTAACAGCCATTGCCTACCAAATTAAAAACAAGGCAAACAATAATAGTAATATTTAGTAACTCTTCTAGTACTGATCTCCATTGTAGCACTTGAGCTACACTCAATTAATTTGGATTGAATAAAAATTTTAAATTTCACTTACAATGTGATGGGCCACGGCCTTATATTGGTAACATAAAGAAGTTGGTAACAAACAAAAGATTGAACAAAAAGGTAAAAACAAAGGTTGCACAATATGAAACAAATGGTGGAAAAAACAAAGAAGATGGAATTGACAGAAAGCAAAATACCTAGCTGGGTTTGAGGCGGAGGTTGTTGAACAGTTTGCTTGGGATGATAAAACCTACAAGAATCCCCATATTGACAAGAGCCCTGTGAAAACCAAAATAAATTAAACAACAATGTAAACTAGGACAAAATCAAAGAGCAGGAAAGAAAGGAGAAAAACTGTTTTCCCTATACCGTTCGGACGAAACGATTGCAGATTCCTTGCTTGCCGAGGCTAACTGGATCGGGGCCCTCATTTGAACTATCTGTTCATCATACCAAAAAGACACCATAAGAATGGAAATCAGGGTTTACATTGAAACTAGTAATTTAAACACGAAGAAACCAAAATTGATGAAGAAGAGGAACTAACAGCGTAAGGAGTCGTACCAGAGAGCTTTAGCCCTCTGGTGGTGAACGCCCTGGAGGTGGCGCTTCCGGGCGGTGGCGGTGTCTTGGAATTCCTTGTCGCAGTAATCACAGTAATATTTCCCCAATGGCATTTTCCCTTTTCCAGAATTTTCTTCGCGCTGTCCTATTTCATAACTTCATCGGTAATATTTCCCTCCTAATTTGATAATATTTCAAAAGGAGAGGGGTTTTTTTGACAATCAGGCATACCTTAAGGGGGGTTTTTTTTTATATTAACCCGTTTATTTATTGTGTTGTATTTGCAGTGGTTGGGAACTTAGAGGTGCTTAACCAATTATTGTCTCATTCTCATACGTATTATTCTCTGTGTTATCTTATTTTCTTTTCATTTCTTGTTTTTTTTTTGTTTGTTACAAAGAATGTTTAAGATTTCAAAACAATATAAGATGACATCTCTACCATACATAACACGTGTGTTATCCCTTTTACCCTATTAAAGCAGAATACAGGATATTGATGTGGCAACTTCTTATTAAAAATTTTTGGCTCCAAATGCACTATATTGCATTAACCATTCTGCCACGTGTCATCTCTTTTTAAAAGAAAAAAAAATTATTATCCAGAAAAACAAAAGCTACTTTACAAAAATAGCTACACAATTTTAACTCCTAACATTTATCATTTATCAATCAAATTAAAATAGCATTTAAATTTGTCCATAAACTTATCCCCTTTATTACTCCATATTCTTTCGTATGATTTCTGAATCGTTGTACTTTTCAATATTTTTTCTCCTTTGGCAGATAATTTTTTTATTTTTATAATTATTTTTTGTTAAAAAGAAAAAAAAAACAAATGTGTAGCTATTTTATTTTTTCCAAATCAAGAATTCATTTATTTATTAACATAAAATTAAAGTAGAGGGGCGCCCGGGCATCTGCCTGGGCCAAGCATCTAGTATCATGTTATAACGACTTAGTATTTGAACTATAATAAGAATATTATGCTATAACGACTTCATATCTGAAATACTCCTTCCGCTCCTTATAATACGGAATTTTGATTTTGTTTTAAGTTTCACTTATGATGTCTTTTTAATTGAAATAAAAACCTTAAAAATATTTCTTAATAACTAAGAGAACACAACGAATGTAAAAATATATATTTAAGGTTTTTTTCCAATTAAAAAGATCATAAGACAAAATCAAAATACCTATAATAAGAACAGGAGGGAATAGAATATTAAGACGTGTTATATCATGTCATAACGACTCGGCAACCGAAGCAAAATAAGAATATTATGATATAACGACTTAATATCCGAAATAGAATAACTAGAAGTCCGACACCACTACGTCTCAACGAAACCACTGAGAGTTTGCTCTAAAATCGATATGCTATAGAAAAACTTGCCACTCTCTGTGAAGAAACTGTCTAATTTTCCAAATCAACTCATCCATACACCATTAATGTTCTTTTTTCTGATCGGATCATTTTCCTACTCATCCAAAATCTTATGGGACAAAAATTTAATCAAAACTTGTGAGCCTAATTAGAATCATGAAATTACATATTCCATTTTCAAGTGATACATATGAAAAAGTGAACAAAACGCTGTGAATGTGCCAAAAATATAAACAAGGGCAATATATTATACCAGCGTACATACATATCTAATCTACATCTGAAAATTTGAGAATAAACATTACAAATAAGTTTTAAGATCATCACATTATATTTTACTTTTAGGTATGAGACACTTTCAGCTTAGTGACAGAAAACAACCAAGCAGCAATTTCCTCACTTGAGAAAGCTATAATACATTGATCACTACAGAATTACGACGATCATCCTAGGCAGCTTTTGCAAATCCGAGCTGGAGATTGCCATAATCGAACACGGTGTGGTACACCCCCATGAATACATCTCCAAGAATCCTACACAAAAACACATCAAATTCTCAGGTTATTCTTCTCTAAATGCAGTTCCTAGAATTTCTTAAATGCAGTTCAAGAAAAGAGAGAAAACAATAGAAAGAACTAGACTCAATATTGAACACTTGAACATACCAGAGAGGACCACGAGGTAAATCAAAAGCCATGAATCCGCTGATGCAAACAGTAGTGATGCCCGTTCCAGTTTTAAGAACATACTACAAGCAAGAAGCCAAATAGAGGACATTGTAAATGTCAACGACCGCACAGAATGACTTATGACAATTCATGTTTGGTATGTCCATGAGAATTGTAGGACGAATTCCTAAGAAGTCAAACCTGTTCAGGTGTTAGCTCAAAAGCTTTATTCCCAATGGTGAATGAGACGTTTGGCAAGCTCGATAGGTTGTCACAGTCGATCACTGATTCTCCTGCAGGACTTGGGATGCTTTCACAAAGCTGCAAAACATAGAATCAGCATTTATGATACCAAACCCACAAGATTCTACCTTTATTAGCAAAATGTAGCGAAATGATATTTCTTCAAATTTCACCTGATTAACATATTCAAAGACTTTCTCCTTGGTTGACCTCTGTTTCAACTGGTTTTGAATCCAAACAACAGCCATTTCGCAAGCAGCACACATAGGGTTCTCACCAACAGATCCTCCATCTTTACCCTCTCTATCAACCACTGACTTTATATAACTGTATAATCAAATAGAAGCAGTCGTAGTCAGCAACAATCCAACCAAAATAAACAAAAATTGCAAGAGAACAGCTTGGTGAACTGCGCTACATCAGACAAATCTGAAGTTCCCTGGTTCTGTTCCACCAGTTCTTACAGTACTACAGGGTGAAAGAGTAGAAAAGACTTTATACGAGTGGTATGTTCAAATTGAGAAAAAAGACAGGTACATAGACCAAAGAACTTTCTGTGACCTAAAGTGAAAGGTTCTAAACTTCTAATATTCACAGTGCTTGTGAAGTTAGTTTTCAAATAGCAACTGCAATTTTATCTGGTCCAGTAAATGCTCTTTCAGTGCTCTGGAAGAAACAAAGCACAGGTTTCTAAGAATGATTATGCACATGAGATGAGAAATTTTTTATATGCTGACCTGTCAGACTGAGCCACAGGAGGAGTACATAAACCCACTTGCGCACAGACCTTGTCAGGAAGTACCTACAGACCATTGATAGAGTAACTTGTCTGCAGCTTACGGTACACAGGAGGATTCAAATGCAACGAGTATTAAAGGAAAATGAACATACTCCTGATACAAGAAGATCCCATATCATGTCTCCGTATTCTGTAACTATATCCTTACATTCCTGGCTTACTACTCCCTCACCCCCAATGGCATGATTGATTTGCGTGATAACAGTCTGCAATAGAACTCATCAGTTCATTTTCACAAGAACAAAATCTAAAGATTTCAAAATTGAAGAATTTTCAAAAGAAAGTGATTTTAGTCTCAACATACTGTTGGACCAGCAAGCAAGGATGTTCCGGAGTCCACAATAGCAGCACAACCTCCTTCACAAGCACCTACACGAGGAAAAGTGAAGATTATAATACCAAACTCAGACATAAAAGATTGCCAACATCAACGTATACGTGAAGTTATCTAGAGTTAATTCAGGCAACAAAAGAATATGAAACTATGGCAATACAGAGAAGAAAATTGAAGATGAGAAGAAATACAACCAGAGATCATAAGCATTGAGTATCTGCAAATCAAATATAGTAGAAGATGAAGCTACAGACCTGTTGAGACGCCTCCGAGCAAAACATCTCCCATTTGAAACTGGCAGAAAAGGAACAAAAAACATTTTAAAACAATTGTGAAGTAATTTTAATCTTAATAAAAAAAAAAACAAGAAAAATGAATAATGGGGTATCAAAGTCTGTACTTACCTGCCAGTATCCTTTCTTTGTTACGGGAACATAAGTATGTTGTCCAACAAAGTGCTTTGGGTCAACACCCCCAAAGACTAACTCACCGCCTTCTTCAGCATCTTGATCACGATTAAGCCAGAAAGAAAAAACTTCCTCATCCACAAGATTTTGATTCACCATGTTATACCTGTAATTGCAAAAAGAATCATTTGATTGCAGACTTTGATTTGCAAAAATAAAATGTACATTTCAAATTTCTAAAGATAAATGAAAAGATCGAGGCAATACCAAACTGGCACCATATTATCCACAGAAATTTCCTGGAATCCAAGGCCAAGGAGCCCATCAAACTTAGCAATTACAAATGAAAGACTTCCTTCTCGTGAAGCTTCAATAAAAACCTGGAACAAAATTCAAAACCAAGTTTGATTACAATCAACAACCAATTTTGTGATTAAAGTAAAACAATATGAAGAAACAGCTACAAGAAGACAAGAAGAGCTCACTTGATCTTTAACTACGACATCACCAACTTTAACATTATCTTGACTGGAGAAGCCAGCAATTGATCCAGACCCATACCGTATCGAACAGGACTTCCCTGCCAAAATTGTAGCACTCTGATTTAGCAGCGAGTAGCACCATTTCCAAATAATCAAGATGATTCACAAGTTCTATGGACAAGCATGCAACTATAAAAGGTAGGTTACATTTCCACGGATAACAATCATGAAACAAACAAATAAAGACATTCAGTGAGAGTATAAGATCATTAGATTTGAATACAGAGAAAACAAGGCTCATCAATTTCTTTTCACCACAAGACATTATTCTCAAGAATTCAGCTCTCTTATTTTCTTTATTATTATTATTATTATTATTATTATTATTATTATTATTATTATTATTATTTGGTCTTAAAAGCTCTTGAGAGTTCACAAGGAAATCAAGAGGTTAAAGCCAGCCAAGTGATCATTACCTATCTTCGTGTAGGTACTCGAGGCGCTGGCCTTGTACTTATGGTGGAGCCAGCAGGCAATCTGCAAGAATTTTCTCATTAATTACAAGTGAAATACGTCTAACAAAGGGGTCAAAACAGACACAAAATTGAGATACACTCACAGAAAAGTAGCATTTGGATGATGGAACCCAGAGATTAGAACTCCCGGTATCAAATATGACCGTAAATTTCTGGGGTGGTGAACCAATACCAATTTCTCCATAGTATTGGGCATCTAGGTAGTTCTTTAAAGGTAGTACATCAGTGGAATCATCCAGATTCTGTCCCAAATGTTTTCTACCACTACCACACGAGCTACCTGATCTAGCTGATATGGCAGCTCTTACGCTAGGAGCATCCAACGACCTTTTTTTCAACCCAATTCTAAGCAAGGCTTCAGAGGGAAGAGGAAACAGGGAGCATACAATTGCTGATAGAAACAAAGCAGCCCAAAGACGTTTACTTCCCATTTTGAGATAGCCTGCTTTAAAAAGAAAATTGAGAAAGTTAAGGAGGGCCTGCAGCAATGATGATTATATTGAGGGTCAAAGAAAACCATGAAACCAGATACTTAAAGGAGTAAAATTAACTTTCCATATCAAATAGCGGAAGATTCTAGGGTTAAGTTAGGGAAAAGAACGAATCTTTATGAAAGTAATCACATGAATTGTTATGAGCGAGCATGATCATCAGAAAGGTAAAGTGAATTATACCCAAAATGATCATGTGGGTGTCAGCAAAAACCCAAACTCAGCGTATCTCAACTAATTCCATATTCACCAAATGAACAGCTTTCCAAAACTTCACAAATCAGTGTACTGTCGAGTGACGAATTGAACTAAAATTTTTGCATACAGATACAGCACCAGAAGTGAAAAAAAAGAAGCTAAAGAGATGATCTTGAAAACAATAAGCTGAAACTAAATCATGGGACTGCACAAGAATATCAAACAAAATTCCATCACCAAAACGTTCAGCAAAAAATTGGATTCGAGACGGGTTAGGAAACAATAACGACTATAAAGCAAGAAACATGGGTTCACTTTCACCAGTCAATCAATAACAATCAATATGCACAATCAATGGTTCATGATTGTCAGCAGACAGCATACATAAATCAAGAACATACAAGAAACTATTTAGGCCAAAGGGAAAAGGGTCAACCTTGATGGGGTTTTCAAGCAAAGTAGGAAGTAGGAAAGGATAGATAAGATAACACAGATGAAACCTTAAATAGGCTCTGTTCGGTGTGAAAATTAGGACCGTAAGAGCTTCCGTTTGTGATACTCAACTTTATTTTAAGTGTAAAAGTTGAACAGTGGCTTAGATATTTCCGAAAGAAACCGGTTGGAGAATCTTATGTAGCTAAAACAGTGTGTGTGTTCTACAAACTACTTGGAAAAGAGAGACGTATTAGTAGACATGGCAAAAATTCTGCCCTGCAAATTGGATGCCAAAATGGTCTCTTTCACTTCTTTTTTTGGTGTTTTATCTAGTTGTGATCCAGATGCATTGCGGAAATTAGACCAAAATGACAACCCAATCAAAATCCTTCCCTCGATGTTTTCCTTCAGCTTTCACTTTCAACGTTCAATACTATCATAGAATAAGGAGATGGATCATCACTCCTTGTGTTGGGTATCTTCAACAATGATGAATATGAAATGAAGATTTTGAGAATGAAAAAGAGTATATAGGTGTTACATTCAAACATCAATCACATTCAATTGTGAATTTTTATTATTATCATCAGTCATTACAATGAAAGTGGCTCCGTCCGTTTTACACTTTTAGTTAGACAGAGGATAGTGAAATTGAATAAACAAGAGTTATTTTTCTCTATCACAATTTTTTTCCAATTATTAGAAATTTTGGATCACATTTGTTATTCAAGCTTTCTTTCTGTTTTGACAGGGAGAGGCAATGCAGTTCTTCTTCATTTTTTTACAACCTTTCAAAGTGAGGCTGAAGCAGTACAAAACAGTTCAAAACACACAGATAGATTGGCTTATTTATTTCAATAGATTCTTCATTCTTCAAACAGACAAGGCAAAGAACTTTCTTAAGTTCAAAAGTCCAATGATAGCCATTACATATTTGTCTAAGTAAATTTCTATAATATAAGCCACCAAATATGAACCTTCCATGTTCAACACCATCCATGAGATCCTAAAAACCAAGCGAACATCTTTGCAACATTAATTCAAGACAGTACTTGTTCCAAATAACATGTTTGTGTCTTCATCAATGAAGGCCTAAAATATGGGAAAAGCTGTTTCGATCATATAGCACAAATACACGAAAGGCTGCATTTTCATCCAACAACATTAGTTTCAAGCTCGTCCACATAACATTACAATATGCTGACAACATATGGGAAGAATAAACATATTTCCCAGATTACTTTCAGGCGTTTAGCAGATCCCTAAAACTGCTCTTACGTTACATGAGAATTACACAAGAGGGCCGAAAAGAGATAACAGGAAAAATAAGAAAATAAATATCTTGACTAAAACGAGATATATCCCATATGAAACACTTGCTAATTTCTTGTTAACCTTCAACTGTTCAGATAGTGAGGAACGGGCATTGTTTTCTTGCATGCTCTGGAATCAATTTGACAAGAGTCTCCACAGGCACACCCTTCAACTCTGAGAACAAAGATATTCGGATATTTTTTAGTTAAGAACTCAAATTTCAATTGCTCGAGAAAAATATTTTATCAGCATTGGAGAATGGATGCATACCATGAGGCTTAAAGTTAAACAATGGAGGAAGGAACCGTCCATTGGGTAAGCGAGCATTGGGATCACGAAGTTCGTCAAAGAAGGGATGAGTCAAAGCGTCCAGCTGCATTAAGACAAAATCAAGTCCAATTAAAACCAAACCTCTTTTGCAAAACGCTTACGATAAAGCTCGAGAAACAAATGCTGAAACTTACAGCGGAACATCGCAAGTTAGGGGAGTACTGAAGGAGTCTTGAGACCAAATCAACAGCTTCTGGAGGCATACGCTTATGGAATATCTGACATTCAAGTTAAAAGGACAAGATTGATGATATATTTATCCCTGGCCCTAATTTGCTTAAGAAAAATTTCGTAGAACTCTGCATCTGCGAAGATCAGAAATTTCACCTTATGCCACGGGTGAGCCTTAATCTGTGGAAATTTGAATTCGGTATAGTTAGGATTCATGCATTTAATTTCCTCCCTTGTTGGAGTACCCAAAACCTGCAAAAATTAGCTCCATAATGAGAAAAAATCAGAAGGAAAAACAAAGAACCCAACCATTGAACACTAACTTGTAACACTTATTTGTTCTTAGACAGAACGATAAGCAAATGGCTCTGAGCCACTGTAACAAGTACCAGAGGAATCACAACAAATACAAGCAAGAACAGAAACAGGAAATAGATGTACCTTTATGATCTCAACAAGCTGGTCAACTCCACTCTCACCAGGAAACAAAGGCTGAAACAGAGGTAGATAACTGAGTGGATGATGTAGATCATAAGGTTAAAAGTCATGGGACCTGCTATACAGAAAAGACGACCAACCTGTCCAAGTAGTAGTTCAGCAAGAACACAACCAGCAGACCAGATGTCGATGAAAGTGGTATACTCAGTAGCCCCAAATATAAGCTCAGGTGCTCTGTAATACCTAGAACAAATGTAGGATATGTTTGGCTCCCCCTTAACCTGCCATGATCAGAAATCAAAACATCAGGTATTTCCAGAAAAGGAAAACGTTGTGAAGAATAGCAGCAATTCTAGAGTGAGCAAGGGAAAAAAAATCATACCAGCACTTTTGCACTTCCAAAATCGCACAATTTAACTTGGTGAGTATGAGGATTCACCTGAGAAAAATAAATCCTTTCATCAACGGAGTGCATAGATCTAAATTGGACGAATTGGCAACAAGAAAAGAACAAAAAAAAACCCTGCTATTGAGGATACAGGGAAATTTCAAAACAACGACGATATAACTACATACCAAGAGATTTTGAGGCTTGATGTCCCGATGACACACTCCAATACTATGATGGATATAAGAAAGTGCCCTAAAAATCTGAAATAGCAACAGGATGACAATCTCAGGAGTAAAATTACATAGATAACAAAACAACGCAAATTAAAGGAAAGCACTTCACATAAAGAAGATTGCATAACATAGGGAAACACATAATATCAGACAAAGTAGTTTCCACTTGAGCAAACCAATTAACTTAAGAGAACTGCTCTAGACTTCCTGATTACAAATGTCATTTAAAGAAATTCCACATCCAAACATACAAAAATAACTAATTTCCCTGAAGCTACAAACATACATGAGGCAGACATCTGTGAAAATTTTTGAACCGCCTCATGGAGAAATAAATTTACCGGAATTGTTTATGATATTCAATATTTTTGGATTTATACACAGAAACATCACAACTCCATATAGAGGATTGACCAAGTACCAAGCACAAAGGCAACTTCGAAAGCACACTGTTCGTTATAACTACAACTACTACAGCCAAAATAAAGCCATCTTTAAAATTTTAAAGTTGATTGCAACTGCAATAAGAATTCCCATGTGCATGAACATGAACACCTACCTGATATGTGTACAACTTTACATATATCAGAGGCATCCTTTGATTCAGCTTATTGTAGTGTTTAATAACACGATGAACAGTTTCCGGGACATATTCTAGGACCAGATTGAGATACAGTTCGTCCTTATCAGTTGTTGAGAAGAAGCAGTGCTTCAATGACACAACATTTGGATGGTCAAGAAGGCGCATGGTTTGCAATTCTCGATTCTTGTATCTCTTATCTTGAAGAACCTTCTTTATAGCAACCGTTTCACCTGTCTCTAGACATTTAGCCTGAGATACCAAATAGATCAGCATATAAGCATAAAAGAAGATATGCAGTCCAGTGAAGTAATGTCCTGATTCTAACCTGGAAAACAACTCCAAATGATCCATGCCCCACAACACGTTCAGCCATGTAACTGATGGTCTGTATGCAAAAAAAAAAAAAAAAAATGTCAGCACATAATCATTAAAAGCTACTGCAAGGTAGACCCCTCTTCTTTTACTATTCTTCAGAGGCAGAGTAAAATTTCGCACATTCACACATAGAACTTAATTCACATGCTACGATATTGTCAAGAAGCATCCCCAAAAAATACAATCAACTTCAAATACAAACTGTTCAGCACCATCCAATTTAGCTTAAAATTAATTCATTATGAATTGGCCAAGAAAAACAAATAGCAAAACCCCACACAACATACAATCTTAAGTGATGGATAGGAATATGACCTGCTTTGATTGGCCATTCCGACCTCCAATGGTTGTCACTATTATATGGCCTGTCTCAGTACCATTACCATCCACGACGGTTGCTTCCATTTCCTTTTCCAAAACACAAAAGAAAACCGGAGACAGAAGTTAACACCCAATAAACAACTAATCATTAAATAAGACAAAACGAGGACAGGGAGGCAGAAAAAGGTCAAACTTCAGAAGCCATGCACCTTATCATCCCTAATTTTCATGTCACTCAACTCTTCCGGCAACCGATCAACATTAAGGGCATGGCTGCTTGAATCTTTCATACTGGAAGTAGGTGCTACCCCCAGAGAAGCCATTTGATAACTATTACTTCAATGAGCCTCAGAAAACCATTCACTCAGTAATTAAATAAGAACCCCCGTCAAACACTAAACCTGAAAAGATAAAATGTATATCAAGCTTTCTTGGTCATTTGCTGACAATTATGATACACAGTGACAAATGACTTCTTATACTTTAAATAAATCAGGAGAAAATAAAAGTAATGAGCCAAAGCCAATAAAGGCAGATGGGCTAGCTCATTAGTAAGTGTTTCCTCACATCTGTCAACCAAAAATCATATAAAGCATAAATGTCAAGCTGCTTAGAGAGTACCCAAAGTAAAGTAGAAAAAAGTTTCAAACCAAAAAATCTAACTATAAATTGCAGTTGCCAATTCATCGATCCTATAACAGAGGCCTCATAATGCTCAATGAGGACATCCTAACCCTTAAGGGATTAAAAATGGATCGACGCCTTACTTTGACATTAACTTCTGATGATAAACAAGGCATCTAAAATAGACCATTCAAAACCCAAACTAACCCCAGTCATTCAAATTAAAATATTATGCTAATTTCTTTCTCCATCAGACTTCAATTCACAGACAAGTTCACAACCACCTCCATGCTAATAAAAACACAATCCAACAAACAATTAATTTCATTCAAATAATCACATCAAGTATAAAATTCTATTTTGAACAAAAATCTTGAACCAAATAAGCTCATATTCAGCTTCACTGGGAGCAATAGAGATAGTAGTTTCATCAGCTAACACTAAGTCTATGAGTGGAAGGTACATCAGAACACCTAAAAGATCAAAATTAACAATGACAACATCAATCATCAAGGATTCATGAACCACCTAAATTTAACCATAAATATGCAATCTTTTGCCCAAAATCCGACCTTTGACTCACTCCGAAAAGCTTAAGTTTCAACTAATCAGCCCCATCAAACAAACCTAAAAGAAATGAAGGTACTTATAAGCAATCCGCAGCTGAAATTTATACCAAAAAAAAAAAAGGAAGAATCCACCTCAACCAAAACATTACCAATATTAACTAAAAAAAAAGCTGCAAAAACAAGTATGAACTCAAAGAGAAAAAGAATTTACAAGAGGCAAAAAGATCTGATGTGGAGTTAACTCACCAAACTTTCAACCATTTTAACCAATTATTATAATTTATTTATTACAAATTAAAAATAAAAACGGAAACTTTTTTTTCTTTTTGGTTGCATGAACAGAAATTGGATAACAGGGAAACTCCTGTGATCTACAAGATCCGCATTTGATACCTAATTAATACGATCTAACCAAATCACCCAAAACAGTATATATCTAGAATCAAAACCGGTTACAGAAAAAAAAAAAAAAACCTACCAACGAAATCAAAATCTGAAAGTCAGGGATGAAGAAGCGGCGGAGGAGGAGTAAGAAGAAGGGAAATCACCGATCATCATCGGCGGGCCGTTGTGCCAAATTGAGGGGAAGATGACACCATCACCAACACAACACGCAGAGAAGAAATTAAATGGGAAAAAATTAATTATAATGATTGTTTGTTTAGAGAGAGAGAGAGAGAAAGAGAAAGAGAGAAAAAACTCCGATGAAGAAGAGAGAGAAACAAAAAGATAGAAAGAAAAAAAAAAGAGAAAAAGGACAGGTGTTACTTGAATTTTTGTACATTTTTTGTTTGAATTTTTTTTTTCCTTTTTTCCATTTTAGCTTTTTTTTAATTTTTTACTTTTTTTAATAAATAATTTTGGGTAATGATTGTTGTAGTGTGTAGTGTACTGTGACAGTCAGTCAAACCTTGGCCACCAGAATTTTTTTATTTTATTCTGTGGTTACCAATCTCCTACATTAGATAATTATTAAGATTTATGATAAATTATGAATCTTTAATTAAACGAGATTTAAGGATTTCAATGATATTCACGACAATGGAAATTGTCATCTACTCCCTCAGCTCCTCCTTATTATAAGGCATTTCAATTTGTTTTAAGTTTGTCCTAAATTTCATATAAGATGTCTTTTTTATTGAAATAGAAAATTTTAAAAATATTTCTTAATAATTAGAAAAACACGACCAATTTGAATATATATTTTTAAAACTTTTTTCTAATTAAAAACACATTTTAGGTGAAATCTAAGAGAAAATCAAAATACCTTATAATAAGGACTGAAGAGAGTATTACGCAAATAGCTCAAATTATTAGCTTAACATTCTATGATTATATTTGTATAAAAAAAAAATTCATATTGAGTTTTAACATTTAAAATCGCACAATTTACTACTCAGTATGGACTTTTTGTTTTGGTTCATAAGTAATATTATTTAGTCCCACACTACGATCATATAAAATACCAAGAAAAATAGGTTCCCTTTTTTCTGTTCTTTTCGTATGGCGTAGCTTTTCAATTTTTTTCCCTTTTGGAAAAAGTCTATGGAATTAGGTTTTAGGTAAGTAATTATAAAAATGATGTTATCATTAAGTATTGGGATGGCATGATGTCAGTCTATATTTAGAAGGAACAAAGATTGTTTCCTTTATGACTTTTTTTTTCCCTTCAAAAAGATTCTTTTCTCCTTTTCAATAATGTTCCAAATAATAAATGTTGGTGCAACTGATTAAAATGGCTAATGATTTCTCGAGGTTGTATAACACCCAACATTTTGTTTATTTACAAGTCATAACTGAGGATGAGGATTTATAAAACTACAGCTATGTCTTACACTTTTATGTATTTTTCTGCTAGTACTCCCTCTGTGCCAAAAAATTTTGTCCCAAAATGATTGTCCAATTTGACTTTTTATGGATCAAGTTACACATTTATCCTTAGTAAAAAACATTATTCATAAAATCTTAGTGGTTAAACAATTACTTATGTAGGGGTATATTCGATTGTTTAAAGTAAAATATAGTTAAGTTTGACCAAAAATAAAATCTTTCATTTTAGTAAAACTGGACAATAATTATGGGATGGAGGGAGTAATATTTTTAATCTGTCACTGTTTTACATAATCTAATTATAATCTTATTTATTCATTTATTTATTGAATAACAATCGTGTTTTGTTTGGTGGGGGGTGGGAGAACGCAATGTACGTGGGAAGAAAATTCATGTGACACTATATTCATAGAAACCCATCATGCCAGAATTATGAGATTTCTGAAAACCAGCCCCGAAATAAAAAAAAAAACAAGTGAATTATGGGAAGTTGTTGAAATAATTGTGAAGTCATACTTCATGTATTAAAAATAAAAATGGTGATTATTATTATTAGTAGAATTATTAGCAATGCTGCAAATGCAATCAAACCACCATCAACCTCTGCCTGAAACCATTTGGCTACTCATCCTTATCTCAAGGTCTTGAAAGGAAAATGATCTAGATGGCCATCTATGTTGAAAAAAAGGCTGTCACCATTAATAAATCAATAGTCAAATTATAACAACCCTCGCTTATTAATTAATAATGTGGCATATTTTGTCAAAAAATAGAAGACGAATAGAACTCTTATTCAGGGAGCTTTATCTTCCAAAACGAAGCTATCAAGCTCGAATCTAAATTAGTTGAAGTAATGATTTCAAAAGCTCGAGTGTGGATTAATCAGAGTTATGACTTTAGAAACTGAATATAAAAAATGAAGAGGGTTTTTTTTCCTCTAATGGTCTCAGGAATTCACGATACTATAAAAAGTGAAATTAATTTTTTAGACTATTTGTCATTGACAAAAGTTATTAATTCCTTGGCTACATTATAATAAACACCTCAATAAGCTTTTAATTTTTAATAGATAAATTTAAACTTGGGTTACTTTTGGACTTGATTTGTTTGTGATTTTCCACCAAAACGAGAACGGAATATGAACATACAGTAAGCTTACCTTTTCAAACAGGGAAGAGATTAAGAGAATGATGCATTTCCACAACTAGCAAATTTTGGGTTCTTTGGGTTTTTTTTTTACTTAAAAGTGAAAAGTGTTTCAAGTTAAAAACTAAATGGGAAATGAAAATGTTGTTTGGAGCAAAAAATTGTTTGAATGTTGGTTTTGGAAAAAATATTTTGAACTACATTGTTTGGATGTTGGTTTTAAAAAAAATATTTTGAACTACATTGTTTGGATGTTGGTTTTGAAAAAAATATTTTAAACTATATTTAAAAAATATCAAGTACAAGTCATCACCAAACAATTAAATACTATCAATTATAGTCACTTTAAAAAAGAACTTTTCCAAAAACAATCACTAAACAACGAAAATTTGATAAATTTGTCACTCTAAGATTTTCCTTTATTAGATTTCGTCACTGAACTATTTTTAGTTAAAAAAATGATCATTACATTAACAAAAAGTGTTTCAAGTTAGAATTTTAAATGTAAATCAGAAAGTTGTTTGGATGATATTTTTTTTCCATTGGATTTTGTGTTTAAAAAGTAAAATGAGTTAAAATATAAAATAATTGAACGTGCAAACAAGATTTTTTGGTACTTTTTCACCTTCGAGGCCTTTGCAGTTTCTCCGGCCGAACCAAAGTTATAATGCCCACAATTCATTATGCAACTTGCAAGACAAGTTTAGAATCAAAATTTTTAGGCACAATACAGTGTATTGTCCAAACTCATTCAAAAGCAATAGTCAATTTTGGCCGGCAAATGACCATGTCATTGAATGTTGCATATGTGGCTGGGAGTTCTAATCACAACCAATTAAAAAGTTCAAAAAATACTGAGGCTGATGAATCAAAGCGAACTTTTGGATTCAGGCACCGCACTGCATAGCGAATTGAGGTACTCTGCCAAGTGGAATCAATAGATCCTTCATGATCTCGTATTCTTCGGCAGTTATCTGGGCACCCTGAAACACCTAGATAACCAAAACAAACAATGTTAGAGAGATTGAAGTATTGCAAAATCCATGAGAATCTGCTATCTGGGGTTGCAAAATGAGTTTCAAAATGAGTTTCAAAATTCATAATAACAGGGCAAAGAACCAAACTGGAGAATTAAATTAATGCTTAACCAAATATAAGTTTGCTTCATTCTAAGTGCTACTGCATCTATTCATCTAAATTTATACTTCCAGGTTTCCTTACTTAACCAACAGTCTGGTAGTTTCAGTCCTCATCAATAAATCCCTCTTCACACAAGTAACTTTACCAATAAACTGTTGAGCTTTATAATCATGTACTTGAAAGGAGCAGTGTATAAATACTTCAAACCAAACAGGCAAAAGGCAGTTGTACAATTCATTCTTCCAAAGCATGATGAAACCAAGGCATATCACCATTTGTAGATAATAGTGACCATACATGATTCAACAAGAAACAAGCAAAATAGATAAGAAAATCAATTTATAAAGAAAACAAGGAAACTTCCAAGCTTGCCTTGATAACTTCATGGCAATGCAAAAGCTAGTGAAGAGATCTAACCTTTGGAAGTAAAACTCTTCTACCAGTCATGCAAGGAGTCAGTGAAGGGATCCTGCAAACTGATAAAGCATCCAGAAAAAGAAGAACAACCAGTTGCCACTGCTTCATTCTGAATGGTGGCAGTGGATCCAAAAAGGACATCGTATCCAGCAGGTGGTCCTGTACACAATTCAGGAAGGGGGGAAAAAACCTTAACTTCATGAAAACAACCAAAAGAAAAAATTATAGTGCAAGCCTACACAAGACGTAACATCTTCTTACTAAAACAAAACAATTCCCTGAAAACAGTCTCCTAATAAAGACACTCCAGCATCCAAAGGGAAATTTTCATAGTTCAGCAGTTCAAATACATTGTGCAAACGTAAATCCATATCATATCAGGCAGTTAACTCAAAGACATTTTCATAGCTCAGCTGTTCAAATACATTGTGCAAACGTAAATCCATATCATATCAGGTAGTTAACTCGAAGACACAAGAGGACTGAACCCACCAAACCTATTCAAAACACACATGTGACATGTCCATTGAGAGACAATTGAGAGGGTTCCTGACTAGAAATCCTCGTTTCGAGAAAAGCACCCATATAGCATGATGAGGTAGCAAATCATCTAACTTAAAGTCATAGCAGGGCATAATCGAGTTGAAAGAACCCAAATACTTCTAATATCATATGCAAAGATAAGGTGAACAAAGAAGTACCATTTCCTTCTCCAATGTAGATAGAGGCACTGGTAGCCTGAGCTCAGTAACAAGTCCCGGCAGTGCACGAGCAAGACAGCCAGACAGTGCCAGCTTGATTTCTGAGGATCGACCATCTAAGGCTATAGTCTTGCGGGGGTACTCCCTTCCGTTGACACACAAATATTCTTCATGAAGGCTTTCATCGTGTCCATATATGTAAGCCAAGGAACAAGAAGACGTCCATGCAAATAGTGCCATGTACATTGTGGCAAATGGTGATAGCTAAGGTGCAGAATAGGAAGATATCAGGATTTTTACCTAAACACCATAGTAAATAGAATTCCTTGAAAAAAAAAAACACTTACTGCTAAATTGAACCCCTCCGGTGGCTCATCATACCATGAATCACTTGAGCTAGAATTCATCGGCCATTTTAAGGAATCTGGTTCAGAATCAAGCATATCAAATTTCTCCTTAGCTTTAAAGTCAGCAATATCTCCTGGAGGTGGTAGTACGATAATCCCAGCTTCAGAAACTGTGAAAAGGACAATAAGACCAGGAATGGGAAACATATTCATAAGGACAAGCTTGTTTAGAGCAAAATACAAGAAGAAAATTTCATACTCGCATTGGAGATATCAGACTCTCCAGATGCAACAGCTTCAGCAGCTTCGGTAAGGGCTCTTGCACATGCTTCAGCAGATAACAATCTATCAGGATCCTCATCCCCTTTGACTTCCACAGTGCCCAGCCTTCCGGAAGTATTATTTTTGTCCTCTGATACATTCAAATCCAGGAGAATTTTTTGGCCTTTGTTATCTGTTTTATCCTCTGATTCTCTAAACTCACAGAGATTTTTATTGCTTTTTCCATCAGTCTTCTCATCAGCCCAAGTAACAGAACGGGTTTCTTTCTTTCCAATTGATGATTTTATAGAAGATCTTCGAGAAGTTTGATTTAACACCAGTGCTTTTTCATCCCGAATATCTGAAGTTCCCTCACTAAAATTAAAATCCGACGAATTCCTGCCAGAATCAGAGGATGAATCTGTAATAACAAGTTTCTGATTCACGTCCTTAGATAACTCATCAAGTTTTTCCTGCAAACCCTGTTTCGTCTGAGCTTTTGCTGATTCTTTACTCTTATTATTGTGTCCCCCAGATGCAACCAGCTGTTCTGATTTAGCTGAATGGCGTTTTAAGTCTTTTTGCTTCACCTTTCCTTTCCGCGATTCAGATTTTCCTGTTGATGTCATGTTCACTTTATCTGGAGCTTTTGACACGCTATATTCATCTTGAAAAATTATGGTACTTGTGAAGTCCACCCCGCTAAAAACCTCACATTTTTTAGGTTTTGATTGGGCATCGGCCTTAGACTTTAGCCCTGTCATGAGCATTTCAAAGCTCATATCAATTATATAAGATACACGTAGAGCAACATAAGTTCAATCCCGTAAAAACAAACTAGCATGCATCTAGTTTACCGTTAACTCCTCGAAAGACTTGCGGATAAAACATTTAACGTTTGCATGTTTTTTACCTTCTTCATATTTATCTTGCTGTTGCTGGCTGAAAGAAGGGTCTTTCTGTGGCACATAACCCTCAATAGCATTTGATGGCCCCATCCACTCTTCCAAAGTCACTTCCCCAGCCCTTCTGTCCATTTTCTCTTGAATTTTCAATGCTGACGGCCCAAATTTGCTTTTCTCACCCACATCCGTTTTGGAGTCTTCCAAACCTAATCCCTCAAACAACCTTAAAACTTGGTTCAATTTCGCGGGGTTTAGAGCTGAAGACCTCTCTTCCAGCAGGCTAGATGCAAATGCCCTACTGTTTATCACACATTCGGCGGAGCAGTACATGTAGGTTTCCTGAAGATCATACACCTTATGCTCCTTCAATGAAATGCGGTACCTCCCCTTCTTTGGCGCCTCCGAAGGCAAAATGTTCCTACAAAGGGGATAACCGCATAACTTTGCAATGGATCTCTCAGTAACCACATCTTGATAGTCACCCCGAGACATCACCGATCCTGCAGCAAACAACTTATTTTCATCTTGAATCCCTTCCAGAAGACAGTGTTGCACCCTGTAAACAGCATCTTTGACGGTGAAAACTTCACCCTTCGCCATGTTCAATACTTCCTGAAACAAAGAAAACAATAAGTAACATCCCCTGACCCTGAGGATCCAATGGCACACATTAAGCTCAACTTAGCACAATTGAAAGACAGCAATCAAGTTTCATAATAACCAACACAAGGAGAAAGAGTAGATACAACATAAAAAAGAAGCAACCACTTATAGGTTATATACGATTATAGTGCAAAAAATTTCATACCACATTGAAAATTATTATAGCAGAGAAAAAAGTAACTGTATTCAAGTGCTGAAAAGACACAATAAACCCAAACAAATAGCAATTTTTTGACATAAATGGTCCACTGGAAATCAGCTATCGAAAATTAGCAAGAAACAAGAACTAATAACGCAGTAGCCAAAACCTAATTCTGAACGAACTAAAATTTACAAAAATATGATTTCAAACACAAGCATAGAAGCTTAAACAAATCGAATTCAAAGACGAATTCTATGAGAAACAGTATCGCTTCGATTAGTACTGATCAATAACGAATTTAAAAGGTCGAAATTACCGGGATTGATGAAGAAGAAGCAGAAAATCACGGAAGCTTTTTGGGAACTGCTCTGTTAAATTCCAGAACGAATAAAATTGAACAAAGAAGAATAAAGACGAGGAAAAATTAAAAAAAAAAAAAAAAGAGGCCGTTTTATGACTATTCTGGACTGGGGTCGGTGTCTTTTTTAAGATGGATCTAGGATTGGGCTCATCTTATCTGGGCTTATTATGGGCCTTTTAATCATCTAAAATTGGGCTTGATGTGATACTTTTTGAAAATAAATAAATAAAATATCTGAAATTAAAAAAGTACCCTGAAATATCTCATCCTGGCTTTCTCCTTCTCCCCTGGTTTTTTCTGCCATTGAATCCATTGACTTACATTCATACTGCTTTTTAATTATTTTAATGGTTAAATCTTTACACTGTTAGTGTTCTTAATTAATCGGTATCATCGTTAACATTTCCTTTCTGGGTTTTGTTAATCACAACAATTTACGTATTCCGATCCATCATCATCATCTTATAATCGCCCCCACCAGGTAAAATCTTTGTTGATGATTAAACTTTTTTTTTTTTTTCCCAATTGTATTCAGCCTTCTGCAACTTCTGATTTTTCATGTTGGGTTTTTGTTTTTTTTTCCCTTTACCAGATGAAGCAAGGAAGAATCTCCAATCGTCATTTCAATCAAGTGTGAGCCTACTTTCTGATTTTCTTTTTCTTTTTCCTCATGTTTATTGGTACTGGGTTCTGTTTGTTGATGAATAACTGGATATAGGTATATATTTCTTTGAATTCTCCGTTGTTCTTAAAAGAGATGGTTCTACTCACTTGTGCAGTGCTTAATTAAGTTATTTAAAATCGATCTGTATCGAAGATCATGGTGTTAGTTGAGCTGAAAATTGGGGGTAAAGTTATTAGCTTTCGATAAGATGAATCTTGATGTTCAGTTGAGTTCAAGATGTATATAATTGGGACTGTACTGATTATGCACCTTTGCTTTTATCCTTGAAATATTGGATCCACTTTTTAATATCGAAATGTGGAGGGCATTCTGTAACATTTCTCTTGTTGTTGGCAGTTGAAAAGGTGATTTGAAGGCTACATAATCCGTTTGATTGCTGAGGACTTTTTACGTTGATACTTCCTTGATGGCTGATCGTCGCAATGATAATGGCAAGGCAGCAGGCCCCGGAGGGGTTGGTGCATATGCCATTGATCTGGAAAACTTCAGTAAGAGGTTAAGGTTGCTATATTCCCACTGGGCCAAGCATAAGGATGATTTGTGGGGTTCTTCTCAGGTGCTTGCAATTGCTACTCCTCCACCATCTGAGGACTTGCGGTATCTGAAGTCGTCTGCCCTGAATGTCTGGTTGGTAGGTTACGAGTTTCCAGATACAATTATGGTGTTCATGAAGAAGCAGATTCATTTCTTATGTAGCCAGAAGAAAGCCTCTTTACTTGAAGTGGTGAAAAAATCTGCAAAGGATGCCACCGGAGTGGAAGTTCTGATGCATGTGAAGGCAAGAAATGATGATGGTACCACAATTATAGACAACATTTTCCGTGCTGTTCATGCCCAATCGAAGTTGGAGGGTCGTGATACTCCTGTTGTGGGCCACATTTCAAGGGAGGCCCCTGAAGGAAATTTGTTGGCAACATGGGACGAGAAATTGAAGAATGAAAATTTTCAGCTTAGAGACGTATCTAGTGGCTTCTCCGACCTATTTGCAGTGAAGGATGAGTCTGAGATCACAAACTTGAAAAAAGCAGCTTATTTGACCTCTTCTGTGATGAAGCATTTTGTGGTCCCAAAGTTGGAGAAGGTCATTGATGAAGAAAAGAAAGTTTCTCACTCTTCATTAATGGATGACACTGAAAAGGTTATACTTGAGCCTGCAAAGATCAAGGTGAAGCTCAAAGCTGATAATGTTGATATCTGTTATCCACCAATATTCCAGAGTGGAGGAGAGTTTGATCTCAAACCAAGTGCAGCTAGCAATGATAGTAGCCTTTACTATGATTCCACCAGTGTCATCATCTGTGCAATTGGTGCCCGTTACAACAGCTATTGCTCGAATGTTGCCCGGACTTTCCTTTTTGATGCCACTCCAATGCAAAAAAATGCGTATGCAGTCCTCCTGAAGGCACAGGGTGCAGCCATAGCAGCTTTAAAACCAGGAAGCACAGTTGGTTTGGCATACCAGGCAGCTGTAGCTGTAGTTGAAAAGGAGGCACCAGAATTGGTTGCAAGCCTGACCAAATCAGCTGGAACTGGAATCGGGCTTGAGTTTCGGGAGTCAGGTTACAATCTCAATGTCAAGAATGACAGAATTCTGAAAGCAGGCATGGTTTTTAATGTGTCTCTTGGTTTTCACAATCTGCAAGCAGAGACCAAAAATCCTAAAACTGAAAAATATTCTCTTCTGCTTGCTGATACTATTATTGTTGGTCAAAGTGGGCCTGAAATCATTACTTCTCTTAGTTCCAAGGCTGTGAAGGATGTGGTGTACTCGTTCAATCAAGATGACGATGACCAAGAAGAGCCGCCAGCAAAAAGGAGTAAGCCTGACAATGTTGAAGTACTTCCATCCAAGGCTACACTTAGGTCAGTCAACCATGAGATGTCGAAGGAGGAACTAAGAAGGCAGCATCAGGCAGAACTGGCTCGGCAAAAGAATGAAGAAACTGCAAGGAGGCTAGCTGGTAATGATTCTAGAGCTGCAGATAGCCGTGGCTCTGGAAAACCTTCTAGTGAACTGGTTGCATATAAGAATGTCAATGATATACCTCCACCGAAAGAACTCATGATCCAGGTTGACCAGAGGAATGAGGCCATTCTTTTGCCTCTTTATGGAAGTATGGTCCCCTTCCATGTTGCCCATGTCAAGAGTGTGTCGAGCCAGCAAGATACAAATCGTTCTTGCTATATTCGAATTATATTTCATGTACCTGGTACTCCTTTCAGCCCTATTGATAGAAACTCAATGATGAAGTTTCAAAGTTCCCTTTATGTCAAGGAAGTGTCTTTCCGCTCAAAGGATCCCAGGCACATCAGTGAAGTAGTACAGCAAATAAAAACTCTTCGAAGACAGGTTGCATCCCGTGAATCAGAAAAAGCTGAGAGAGCGACATTAGTCACACAAGAGAAGCTTCAACTTGCTGGATCTAAATTCAAGCCTATAAAAGTGACCGACTTGTGGATCCGTCCAGTATTTGGTGGTCGTGGGAGAAAGCTAAGTGGTACACTTGAAGCACACACAAATGGACTGCGTTATTCAACTTCAAGGGCCGAAGAGAGGGTTGATGTCATGTATGCCAACATCAAACATGCATTCTTCCAGCCGGCAGAAAAGGAAATGATCACCCTCCTGCATTTCCATCTGCACAATCACATAATGGTGGGAAATAAGAAGACAAAAGACGTTCAGTTCTATGTGGAAGTAATGGATGTTGTTCAGACAATTGGAGGTGGGAAACGCTCTGCATATGACCCAGATGAAATTGAGGAGGAGCAACGAGAAAGGGATAGGCGGAACAAGATTAATATGGACTTCCAGAATTTTGTAAATAGAGTAAATGATCTCTGGGGTCAGTCTCAATTTAAATCATTTGATTTGGAGTTTGACCAGCCCTTGAGAGAGCTTGGCTTTCATGGAGTTCCCCATAAATCATCAGCTTTCATCGTCCCAACTTCAAGTTGTCTCGTAGAGCTCATAGAAACACCCTTTGTGGTTATTACCCTGAGTGAGATTGAGATAGTCAATTTGGAGAGGGTTGGCCTTGGACAGAAGAATTTTGACATGACTATAGTGTTCAAGGATTTCAAGAGAGACGTTATGCGGATTGATTCGATTCCCACTTCATCACTGGACGGTATCAAGGAATGGCTGGACACCACAGATCTCAAGTACTATGAGAGCAGGCTAAATCTGAACTGGCGGCCCATACTGAAGACAATCACTGATGATCCTGAAAAGTTCATCGAGGATGGTGGATGGGAATTTTTAAACATGGAGGTTTCTGATTCTGACTCCGATAACTCTGAGGAATCTGATCAAGGATATGTACCTTCGGATGCACAATCTGAGTCTGTTTCAGAGGACGAGGACGACGACAGTGAATCCCTTGTTGAATCAGAGGAAGATGAGGATGAAGATTCCGAGAAAGATTCTGAAGAAGATGAGGGGAAAACATGGGAAGAGTTGGAAAGAGAAGCAAGTAATGCTGATAGAGAGAAAGGCCATGATTCGGATAGTGAGGAGGATAGGAAGAGAAGGAAAATGAAAGCATTTGGAAAAGCACGGGCACCTGAGAGGAGAAATCCAGTTTCCAGCAGCCTTACAAAACGAGCAAGGTTCAGATAAATAGTGGACAGAGTTGCCTGATTTACTGATTGATTCCACATGTTTATCTGATCATATTCAGGAATCTGGGTTTCTGAACTGCTAAGTGAGTTTTAGATAAAGTCTGTACTATGCAAAATAGGTGCTTTGGTTGTGATTTTCTCTTTGAGAACATCCAATTTTGTGAGATTTTCTTTTACTGGAGCTGTCTGGTTCCATTTTTACCTTTGGTTGAGAACTATTTATACTGCATTACCAATCTGTAGCATCGTCCAAGAATGCATCTCACTGGGAAACATTTGGATTGTGGTGTTCCGTTGATTTATCAATATAAGTATTAAAAAAAAAAAATCAAGATCAGTTAAAGTAACATGAATGACAAAGGAAATTCTGAGTTGCAGTCCATCTTACTGCCACTCCCCTTGAAAAGGTAATGACTAAGGTAATTGAAGATCAATCACGAGCAGATCGACATGGAATTAGGTTTTGCAACAAGGTTGAACTATTAATTTACAACGAAACCTATCTCGTTTAACCTCCCAACCAAGAAGCAAAAGATCCAAATGGAAAACAAAATGGCTAATAATAGTAGACTAGTTGATACTGGCTAAACTAGGTGCAACTACCACAGCTAAAGCAAAGGTGACAAGTTGAGACTCCACAACATCAGGTCTACCTGAACTTAGGTCTCTTGGGGGCATTGTTACTTGGACCAGCTCTTGACTTGCCAAAGTTCTTCATTTTCCTCCTACGTCTCTCGTCTTCACTGTCTGATTCATTCCCTTTCTCTCTATCTGCATTAGTTGCCTCCCTTTCCAATTCCTCCCATGTCTTTCCCTTCTCATCCTCTTCCTCTTCTTCCGACTCCTCGTCCTCATCATCCTCAGACTCAACAAGGGATGCGCTGTCAGAATCATCATCTTCCGACTCAGATTCAGGCTCAGCATCCGATGGCTCATATCCCTGGTCTGACTCTTCAGAAGGCTCGGAATCTGAATCGGTAGCTTCCAAGTTCAGAAACTCCCAACCACCTTGGTCTAGAAACCCCTGGGGGTCATCAGTTATGCTTTTCAGAATAGTTGGCCAATTAAGATTCAGTCTACTCTCATAATACTTTATGTCTGTGGTGTCAAGCCATTCCTTAATTCCATCAAGTGATGAGGAAGGAACTGAGTCTATCCGAGCAACAGGGCGCTTAAAGTCTTTGAACACGACCACGAAGTCAAAATTCTTCTGCCCCAGACCCACTCTTTCTAGATTGACAATCTCAATGTCACTTAGAGTAATAACAAGGAAAGGAGTTTCTATCAGCTCAACCAAACAAGTTGAAGTTGGAACAATGAAAGCCACAGACTTAAAGGGAACTCCATGGAACCCAAGTTCCCTTAGGGGTTGATCAAACTCCAGGTCAAACCCTTTGAACTGAGGCTGCCCCCAAAGATCATTCACACGGTTGACAAAGTTCTGGAAGTCCGTATTGATTTTGTTCTTGCGATCTCTTTCTCTCTGTTCTTCTTCAATTTCATCTGGATCATACGCAGATCTTTTCCCACCACCAAGTGTTTGTACCACATCCATTACCTCAATATAAAACTGAACATCCTTAGTTTTCTTATTTCCAACCATAATGTGATTGTGTAAGTGAAAATGTAGAAGCGTAATCATCTCCCTCTCAGCAGGCTGGAAGAAGGCATGCTTGATGTTGCCAAACATGATGTCAACCCTCTCATCTGCCCTTGAGGTTGAATACCTAAGATCATTGAATTTAAATTAAGACAAACTATTCTTGGAAATTACTTTAAAGTAATATTAGAAAAGAAAAGGATAAACATACCTGAAACCATTAACATGAGCTTCAAGGGTGCCACTCAGCTTCCTTCCCCGACCACCAAAAACAGGCCGAATCCACAAGTCAGACAATCTTACTGGCTTGAATTTATTACCAGCAAGTATAAGCTTTTCCTGAGTTACCAGCGTTGCCCGTTCAGCTCTTTCAGACTCCCTTGCGACAACACTTTTCCTCAGTGCTTTAATCTGCTGTACCACTTCACTTATGTGCCGTGGATCTTTAGAGCGGAATGAGAGTTCCTTCAGGAAGATAGCACCCTGATTCTTTATTGTGTTGGCATCATGGGGATTGAAAGGAGTACCAGGTACATTGAATATTATCCGGACATAACAGTTACGGTTTGTGTCCTGCTGACTTGAGACTGTTTTCACCATAGAAACATGGAAAGGAACCATGACCCCATAAATAGGCACAAGAACAGCTTCATTCTTCTGGTCAACTTGTATCATCATCTCTCTTGGAGGTGGTAAATCATTAACACTCTTGTAAGCAATTAGCTCACTGGACGTCTTCAAAGAATTCCTGTTTGTTCCACTAACTGAATCCACGCCAGCCAGACGTCGGGCAGTTTCTTCATTCTTCTGCCGGGCAAGTTCAGCCTGATGTTGCCTCCGGAGTTCTTCTTTCGACATCTCCTGGTTATCTGAACGCAAAGTTGCCTTTGAATACTGGGGTTCCTTGGCCTCCAATTCCACTTGTGCTCTTGGCAGTTCTTCTTCCTCCTCCGCTTCATTGAATGAATAGCACACATCTTTGACACTTTTTGAGCTCAAATTAGTCACCACCTCATAACTAGCATCGGTGATAGTAACTGTATCTGCAAGTAATAATGCAAAAGTTCGAGCTTTAGGGTTCTCTGATTCAGCTTGCAAATTCTGAAAACCTAGCGACACATTGAAGACCATCCCAGCTTTAAGCAGCCGGTCATTCTTAGCATTAAGAATCAATCCCGACTCACGAAACTCCAGTCCAATGCCTGTCCCAGCAGATTTAGTCAGGTTGGGCAGAAACTCAGGGGCATCCTTCTTAACCACTGCAACAGCTGCCTCATAGACTGCACTAGCTTGCTTCCCAGGCCGCAATGCTCCAATTGCAGCCTCATGGGCTCTGAGAAGAACTTCATAAGCTTTGCTTTGAGTACTATTGGCATCAATGAGAATAGATCTTGCAACGTTAGAACAATAGCTGTTGTACCGTGATCCAAGTGCACAGATGATAATACTGTTGGAATCATAAAATAGAGGATCTTCATTGCTTGAAGCACTAGGTCTGAGGTCAAAGGTCCCACCACTCTGAAAGATTGGAGGGTAGCAGATATCCACGTTTTCAGCTTTAAGCTTTACCTTGATTTTGGCAGGATCCATAATAGCCCTTTCTGTCTCCTCCATTAATGAAGCATGAGTAACTTTTTTTTCCTCATCAATAACCCGCTCAAGTTTTGGCACGACAAAATTCTTCATTACAGAAGCACTCAAAAATGCTGCTTTCTTGACAAAGGTTATTTCATCCTGGCTTTTAACAGCAAAAAGATCAGAGAAGCCATTGGTCACATCACACAGCTCAAGGCCAGAATTCTTCAGCTTATCGTCCCATTTCTTCAAAAGCACCCCTTCAGGAACCTCTCTTGCAATATAACCAACTCTGGGACTGCTCTGACGCTCTAATTTTGCCTGTGTATGCATTGAGTTCAGCACAGCATCCATTTGAGTCGTTCCATCCTCTCCTTTTGACTTCACATGCATGATGACATCCACCCCAACAGCCTCCTTGGCAGATCCTTTCACACTCTTCAGTAAATCAGCCTTCTTCTGGCTGCACAAAAAATGGATTTGTTTGCTTCCAAAAACCATGATAGTCTCAGGAAATTCATATCCAAGAAGCCACATGTTCAGGCTTGAAGACTTCAGGTAACGCAGATCATCTGAAGCAGGAGGTGTAGCGATTGCAAAAAAATCAGCAGATCCCCAGAACTCATCTTTATTTTCCTTCCAGTGAGCGTAAAGAGCACGTAATCGTCCAACAAAAATATCCAAATTTATGGAGTATTGACCGCCTCCACCCGCATTTCCATTCGAAGGTGGGCCCTTACCATTCCGCTGCTGTTCTACCATGATGCATCAACCAATCTGACCAAAAAGCTGGAAGCAAAATTGAGACCATCAGAAAATGGAGCAGAGACTTATCTAATAAACACTGGATCCCCACTCCGAAAAAGATAAGTTCCGAAACAGCAAATGCAGAAACAATACGAGAAAACAAAGAATAAACTATGCTATACAGTTGCCAAACCATAAATCACCTTCTAGAAAGATTTGTGTATTATAAGCTATACGGAGGAAAATTCAACACAACCACTTAAGCCCAAGAAAACTAGAACCTATAGTGTCACCATCAGTGTTAGGAGATTCATATCACACTAAGTGCTAGAAACACAAACATATTCCCTATAAATAGACATGAAACAACGGCCTGAAATTCAATCAGGTCTTTATGCACTTGTGCCCTGGTGCTTCTTTATGGTACAAATATCCAATTCGTGTAGTTGCTTTTCTGAGCATATGTGCAAGTGGTATGATAATTTTCAGGCAAAAGTATGGCAAACATCCAAAAAAAATTGAGAACCCAACCCCAAAAAAAAAAAAAAAATTTAAAGAAGAAGCTCCAAACTAAACAGCTTGTTTCAATGCCAAACCTCTAAGCACAAACAGGTTTAATGACGTAGCCAGACAAATTTCAAAGAATTCAGAATCTCAACACCACTAATCACCCAATTCAAAATTAAAACCAAAACTGCTATTCATACATCCAAAATTCTGTAGAACTAGGGTTCCATAAACTCAAAAAAAGGGATTTCAAAAACCCCGACAAATATCTTAGAATAAATTTCACCAAACACATGCTTCACCCGTCTCATGCACCCAAAAAGCACATACTTTTCCCATACCCGAAATTGAACCCGATAAAGCTACAGATTGAGTTCGACGAACACGAAGCGACAGAAACCCCAGAAATCCAACCCACAATACAGCTGAAATGACTCACCTTCAGTACCAAAAGAGGGTGAATCGAATGACCCAGATAGAGTTTGAAGCTGCGGCCGCCGCCTCGGCTAGAGTTTTTGACCTAGCCGCAATGTAGGTATAGAGCTAGGGTTTCTAAGCCGCCAGGTAAAAAATTAACACTAATCCCACCACTAAAATATGGAGTAAAGGATGCCTCGAAGATCGAAACAAACCCTTTTTCCTTCACATAATTAAATAATAATGCTAAGAATAAGAAACAAGGATGAATTTTTGAAGATAAAAATAATCAAAGAACGTGAGAAGAGGAAGAGGATTTCTGCAGAGAACGAAAGGGAGGAATGAAGAGAGTGTTTTTTTGGGTTCGAGAAAGTGCGAATGAAATTTTTTTTCTTTGATTTCTGGGATTCTAGGGCCTTTATATAGGCCAGAGTGGTTCCAAATAAGCCAAGGATGATAACTTTATTACCAAAACATGCCACCGTGATGTTATTGCATTGACGGTTGTAACCCCAGGTGTCGGAGGATTTTGTGGTTCTGACGCTGTGGAGAGATGTGCGTTCAGGGGCTATTTCGTCCTTCAACAAGTGCAAGTTGACAAAGGTCAGGCCGGAAGGGTAATTTTGAGATTTCGAACCCAAAGCGGGCCGTGAAGCCAAAAGGTAGAATTGGGCCGATTAAGCAGTTTGTTCTTTTTCAGTTTTTCCCTCCACTCCCTTCAAAATGGCGGGAATGGGGTTTTAAGGTCCTGGCGGGAAATTATTTGTGGATGTTACTTTACTACATGATTATAATTTTTAATCGAAGAAGTACTGGTACTAATTTAAGAAAATATCCGTTATTACGTTAAGTATAGAGAACCTCGAAAATTTTGAATCGCCTTTTTTATTGAATTAATTATTTATACATCTATATATAACTTAATAATAGAAAACCCAAAGAGAGGAAACTGAGATAATTTTCCACTTATCACGTAAGACTGGCATTTTTCACCTTTTTTTGATTTATTAAAAAGGATTAAAAAAATTATAACTTCAGTTAAAAAAACAAAAGACGGAACAAAAACTACTTTCGATTTCTTCAATCAAATCTCAAATTATACTCCCAAAATTTATGCACGTCTAAACCGTTAAAAATGGAGATCATATTCTGATGAAATTCAATAGTTGTACTCAAGTTTTGAATTTATTCAAAACTTAGATTTTTTTGCTAAAAAAATGGATGCGATGATCACGAGACATCTTCTATCCTTTAATAACAGGTGTGATAATCTTATGAAATCAAATCCCTATTGATATAAAGATTTTTTTTCAAATCATAACTCTTTTTGAAAACAAAAATTTGTTCCTAAAATATTTCACTCAAATTAGTCCCTACCACAAGATATAAAGCGAAGTATTCCAACTTTTATGATACAATGAACAATCTGTTATATTTTTTTCGTCGCCTCTTTTTGGTCAATTACAGACTCCCTAGAGGACAAAAAGGCTGGAAGTTCTTCATCTCCAACTGGAAAAAGATTTTTGATCAAGTAGCAAAATTCGATCCTTTTGTTGTATGCGGCAAGAAAATTTAGTTCATCATTGAGAATCTCCAGATAAAGAATACCGTCTTTTTTTTTTTTGAGCCACAACAAAAAAAGGAAGTTTGAAAAATAAAACTGAAGAATACCATCTCAGTTCACAGATATTGAAAAAATTATTTATTTGAATTTTTTTCAATTACATTTGCTTTTTGTTTCATGCAATTCACAAGTTTCATGTATTCGACTGTGTTTCATGGGCTTTGAAATTAATTTGTCAATCTGCGTATGAATGTGATTAATTAGTAATCAATTCATAGCTGAAGTGAAGTGCCATAATTGTGGCTTTTTTTTCTATTTTGTTTATAATTTATTATATTTTATAAAATTTGAACCGAAGAATTATAGATTTACTCATTGTGTTAGACATGATAGTTTTTGTTGGAGATTTATTGATGCCTGTTAAGGATGACTAAACTGAGCAGTGCACTCATTTTTCATGGGTATTAATCTGAAATTTTTGCGATTACATTTATGTGGTTTTTAGGCAAAATGATCCGATAAGTTTAGTTTTTTATTTTTTATTTTTTGAAAAGGCGATAAGTTTAGTTAATTCTTGAATAATCACTGTCTGGTCTTTTTTTTTTTAATCTATCTTGCATGAATATTGTATTTCTTTCATTTAATCTGATAGTGAAAAAGAAATTTTCAATCCCCTAGAAGCATATTAAAAGATTTTTTTCCACCCATCGAGGTCAGTGACAGAACGAGAATTTTCAAAATGCAGAGGTCGAAAATATGATTATTCAACTGTTAGTGAAGGGGCAAATTGAAAAAGTTCAGTTAACGAACACCCTAGTAAGGAAAAGTCCAGCCAAATCCTGATTCCATCACTGATCGAAGTGCCTACGATGAGTGAGGATTAGTCACTATTACCGACGGTAGACACCCTACAATATGTGGGAAAAAAAAATTCTTTTTCATTTCTATTTAAGTTGAAGAGTTTGTGTTTGAAAAAAGTATTAATTATTGGCAATGTTTCCTCATTAAATTGTAATATTTGTAAATCTTAATTTTTCAAAATCCATCACTCGGGGTTGTGGTGGATGCATGGTTTGACTGAAAACCATGCATTGATGTCATAGGCTAATTGATATTTTTGAAAACCATTGATAATGGCCAGCTTCTCTAATATTTTAGAATATTAAATATGTTTCAAATCTTCCTTATTTGTTTCGTAGGTGATATGTGTTTTTTGTGTATTATGTTGGATGTTTCTATTTGCTAGCTACCCATAAACCAGACAAGGGAAAATTAACTTGGATTGGAGTTTTATCTTTCCAATTTCAAAACTTGGATGAAAACTCTATGGACAGAAGTTGAGGAGAGGGTGCTGACTTCTTTCACAAAAAGCTTTTGCTAAGCAAGTTCGGACAAGGAAAAATTAACTTAGATTGGAGTTTCAACTTTCCAATTACAGATTTTCAATTTCAAAACTTGGATGAGAATTCCATGCACAAAAGTTGAGGAGAGGGTGCTAACAGCTTCTTTCACAAAAAGCTTTTGCTAAGCAAGTTCGAGTGGTGCTTGCAGCTTTGAAAGTATTTTGGTGTGGAATGAGATTTTTTATTAAAAAGAGGGGGGAGGGGAGAAGGAAAAGTGCAATGTAATTTTTTTTCTGCATTTAAAAAAGAAAAGGAAGAATTATATGACCTACTAAAATTCTCAACTGTAAACATTGATTTAAATTTTCTTTTCGTTCTTATTTTTTGCCATAAAAAGATCCGAAAGAGGAAATATTTGCAGGAAAGCTGTAGTTGGCCTCCTCCAGAGCCGGATGCCGTTTGAATTTTGATTAATTGGCTCAATACTTAGTAATTGAATTATTTTACTTATTGTGTTGTCAATACTCTTTTTTTTTTTTTTCTTTTTAGTTCTTTGGAAATGATTAGCAATGGAAGTCATTTTTCCTCTCATGTAGAGAAACGGAAAAGGAATTTTGCGTTTTGGGATTTTTTTCGTAACATTCAATATACATAAATTCATCTATTACATGTGATGGTATTAGGTTTTGTATCTTAAGGTCTGGACCATGGAAGTTTTGCGGCCCCTGTGTTTTGGAAAGTTTTCTGGGTGGATTGTGCAACGGTATTAAGTTTCATCCTAAGATCTAGACAACGTGTCATTGAAGGAAAGGTTATTTTGGATTACTACGTTGGAGAAGATGGGTACATTTCTCACATATCTTTGTATCTCTCTGATGCAAAATTTCCATTCAAATGAAAAGACAACAATTGTTCAGTGGCCATTTGTTTTGCAATGATAATTAACAAGATGTATGAACAGTCAGTTTTACAAGATTAGTTATACATTACTCTATCTAGAGTTACATTAAAAAACAAAAGGACTTCATTTTTAATTTGCAAAGAAAACAGAGAAACGAATAACAAGATAACCAATGTAGTATACAAAAAATACTGCAACATTATAATTATTCAATTCGTTTTTGACGTTATGAAACTTTACTTTTTAATTCTCGACAAATTATTTTCTCCACATTTTTTTCTGC